TTTAATCTAAATGGCTCATTATTATCATATTTACAAACACTACCAATGTAGCACTGATCAATTCTCTAATAACTCCATCATATGGATCACACTGACTGATTGTAATGAAAAACCAGTATCAGCCTTATTGTCATCCAGCCGATGCATCATTCTAACCATCGTCAGGGCAGAAGAGGTGGAAGAGGCGATACATTTGTTGCCTCTCATTTGTCTGTCTCTGTGTGTCTCTCTATCTCTGAACACACCATTCCTCAACCGTGTCCAACGGTGACAGCCGTGGGTAATGACAGTCGAACGCTCGCTCGCTCCTCATTTACTCGGAGCTGGCAGTGTAACAGTTCGCTCAGAACTCTTAAGTGCTTGTTAATTTAATATGCAAATAAGTCTCTTGTCAATCTGAATGCATTTTAATGAAAAAGCCCCTGCTTCCACAGGGCGGGGGGGGGCTCCTGCAGGTTGACTGCAGGCAGGAAAGGAAAAAGGCCAGGGGCAGGGTGAGCAGAGGGCACAGGAGAGGTGTGGCTGGAGGGTAGCAGTGCAATACAGAGGTATTAGGGACGGAGAATGGAAGCCCAGATGGCACGTAGGGAACATACATGGTGGCTTGTTGCAACCTGAACATGTGTAACACATGGAGGTGATGCCGCTGTCACCTCCGCTTTGGCCTCCTGTGATCTGTGTCAGCCAGTGTTCCCAGCAGATAGAGCTTCAAAACAGAATCCAGGGTTATGAGAGGGAGCAAACACAAGAATCAGCCTGCACAAACATGATAGAGTGAAACACACACAATCCTCTACCCACATCCCTCTGTTAATGACAGACCTCAGCTCAACCTTTGCCTACATATGGGTGGTGCAGCGTGCTGAAAGTAAGGTAAGCGTGTTATTGGGAAGGTGGGGGGCTGGGGGGTGGATTGCAGGCGGTGTTAAGTCAAGCAGGAACCCTCAATGTTGCTAATTTATTTACAGATTTAATTAGATGGATAGAGCCCTCACAGATATAAGAAAGAGAGGAGAGATGTTGCCAGCGTTACAGCACTTTAATTATGGTAGCAGGCTCCTGATCCCTGCGCTCTGCTGTCTGGGGAGCCAGTTAATTAAAATCCTCATTATTTTACTTTTAATTAGTTCCCCCCTCTTTTGTTTCCTTTCACCATATGGCCGTGTTCCGTGGTCAAATTAACGTAATTGAGCTAATTAAGCCGATCACTTTAATTATTCAAAGCGTTCCGATTGGCCAGGAGAACTTTTCTCTCTCTCCCCTCCCTGACATTCCTGTGTGAGGCTTGGAGTTGTAAAGTCGCTGTCTTTGTCATTATGCTCCTCTGCTCCCAATGCTGAAGGCAGTGAGTTATGGCCGCAACATGCCTCACTTCCTACATGTTCCAGCAGCGTCTCCTGTTTCACTCCCCATACAATGTGGGGTATGCAAGCGCAGCGCCGGAGACCTCTGTGAGTTCAAAGAGGATTCAGAAATCATCAGAACGTTTAACACACTATGGTTATGACAAATTAGGTGTTGGTAGTTGTTGTCTACTTCGCTGCAGTCATCTGGTGCTTGGGGATTGGAGCAACCATAAATAGCTTTGGCAGCCCGAGCAGCTTTCAGAAGGATCGTGAGCTAAATGCCATAGACGTCTTTCAGCACACTACCATTGCATTTACATGCTTGGTTTTTTTGAAAATGGTGACAGCCAGATGGCGGTTTCACAGCTAACATTCTTACGTTGAGCTCAGTGCCTAAGGGTGGACAAGACCTGTCTATCAGCATTTCATCTACAAACTCCACACATACCTCTCTCACTCTCAGCTCATCTGTCTGTTTTTACAGCAAGGTAGAATCGTTTATACCCATAATCTGTTTAAGCACAAGGAACCTCCTGCTAAAACGGCTGGATCTGAGATAAAACACAAAGTCTTCGCTCAATGTAATTTGTTTTTATGTGTTATTTGATGACAGCAATGTACAGTTCGCAGTTCAAGAAAGCTTTTATACTGTTGTACCCACTCTACTGTACGAGCCTTTTCAGGGAAAACTCAGAGAAGCATGCACCTTTCCAGAGTGTTTGGAATATATAGATCATGAGTAATGATAGGCATCATAGCTGGACAGACAGAAAGTCAAACTTCCTCAACACAACACAAACCAAAAAAACTTTAGTCCACAAATCTTTGCATGGAGCCCAATTGAACAGATTATTACTGTACTGTACTGTTCTGCGTCTAAGATTATGCTTCCACCCTAATATGTAGTGGGTGGATTGTAGTGTCTACAGATTCGAAGGTCCAGTTTGTAACATTTAGGATCTATTGTCCAAAATGGGATAGTCACCTGAAAATAAGAATTGTTGTGTTTTTTCTACCTTAGATAGGCTGTTTATATCTACATCTACGGGTTCTCTTCTACAGTGACCTACACCATTTCAACAGTAGCCCACAATGGACAAACCAAACACTGGCACAAGATAGGGCCTTTAGTGTTTTTTGCAAGTTTGACAGCCACCATAATATCTCCTACATGCTTGGAAGGCTAAGTGCTATTCAGTTGGTTGCAATCTTCAACTTCACAATGGCGGCTGTGGCTCAGAGGAAGAGCGGGTTGTCGGTGTGTGAATGTGTATGAATGAGTTAGTTTCTGTTTGATGGACTTTGCCATCGCTGAGTGAATGTGTGTGTGAAAGGGTGAATGTGGCATGTAGAAAGCCTAGAAAGGCGCTATGCAAGTACAGGTCCATTTACCATTTACTACTAGGTGTTATTAAATCTTACACACTGGCCCTGAGAACTAATATCCAATATTCTCTGGATATTTTATTACTTTATCACTGTAAACATTTTTCAATAAAACAATTGTCTTCCAAAGAAACAGTCCATTTCAGGTTTTTTTTTTTTTTGTATCTTGGTTGAACTGACATATTTTCTCAGAACATTCTAGGGTTCTTGTATTCCACAGTATTGGATTCACCAAACCATTTCTAGCTCAATTTTTAAGCTTTCAACTCAAATTGAACACTAGCCACCACAATCTGCCACAAAAAGAGGATGTCACATGCTATTTGCCCTTATCGAAGTCATTTCCATGAGAACGCTGCTCCTAGCCCTCATAATTACTAACTTATGTGCTCTAATTTATTCATCTTATATCACCGAAACATGATGAAGAATGTAACAAAGGATTTTGGAAGAGCTAGCAGTGACATTTCTCTCGACTGTGACAAGGCCAAGTGGCGAATGCTTGCTAATCCTGTGGCGGTTTGTGGTGGCAGTGAATGGTTAAGAGAGTTCATACATTCCAAATGTGAGAAAAGGAGAATAACTACTCTAGTACAGTTTAAGACTACTGATTCCATATTTGCATACTGTAGCGTTTGTGCAAGCTATTGCTAACAGCAGTTGACAACTAATCTTGTGGACTCAAAAATACCAAAGTAATGAGAATTGAACATTAAAGATGGAATCAAAATTAAAGAGGAAATAAGTGAGACTTCAATAATTGCATTCTGAAAACACCCCGAACAACAGTTGTTAACCAAAGCAGGAACTAAGCTCCTGCTGTTCAGACTTCAGTTCACATCTGGTGACACAAAGCAGTCTGAACCGTCACAGAGATGTGTAAGCTAACGCCAGCATATTGTCTGCTTCCAAACACTTGGTCTGGCCCCTCCACACACACAGGGGCCCAGTCGTTCGAAAGAGCTTCTGGCTGACAGACCAGCGGATCAGCATCAGAAGGGAACTGGGCTAAAGGAAGGCAGCCATCTTGGATCTATATCACAGGAGTGTCTGGGCAAGGAGGAGGCTTCGCTGGTACTCTTCCTCTCTTCATCATGAGCATGTAAAAATATCCTGGCATCATCTTGTGTCTTCACACAGTGTGAGGTGGAGGAGCTCAGGCAATTACACTCATCTGCATGTGTTAATATGATTAATTAGCAGGAATAAACACTTTCCTATGACACAGACTACATGGTGAGCCACACACCTGCAGAAGCTCTGATAAAAGACAACGCCTCATGGCAAAGAGCCTTTTCATGAGACCTGCTAATTGGCATCTGAAAACGTTCCGGCTAATTAGGAAAAGGCAGATGAGGCTTGATTAGTTTGAATGCAAAGTGTAACTTGTGGTGCGGTGGGACTCGGGAATGTGCCGAGGTTTTATTTCTCCACCATCACGATACAAAGATAATTGTAATTGTGATCATTTGCATACGTTAATGAATTTGCGTGACGCTTCTTGATCAGACGTGGAATAAATAATTGATGCAGTATCAGCACCTACCATGACAAGTGGGACGTTTTGAAATAGCTAAGCGCATTAAGGTGCAAGTTTGATGGCTGCCATGCTCCCAGGCAAGGTGTGAAAGTAGAGCAGATCCTATCTTCTGTCTCCTGCATACTCCACGGCTGCTATCGCGCTAAGATTAACTCCCAACCTCCGATGGTATGCTGAGACTTTACGTTTTTACATAGCATTAAAAAGGCAAACCGAGTTAGAGCAAATTAGATGCAGCTCGGGAAAATAATTTTCAGAAGCCATGCAGAGTGGCGGAGAACAAAGGGCTGTGATGGGAAACAAACCAGGCTGTGTGGGAGCTTTAATTGGAACATGGTAAACAGTAAATACATCAGATTGTTTCAAATGCCCTGGATGTGAGGGGGCCACTCCCCTTTAATTAGCCTGCTTTCAGATTAGGCTTTATTAGAGGGAGGCAGGCAGGCAGGCAGCCACAGAGCCAGTCAGCCACGGGATATGCCCCAAGTTCAGCCTCCCAGGAGCTCCAGCAGCACAGATACAGGGCTCATGTTTAATTGCTTCTGTAAATGGTCAGAGCTCAAGCCCCCTAATTCCATTCCTCTGGGTAATCAGGCATGTTTTCACCATACAGGGCTAAAGAGAGTGAGAGAGACAGTCACATCCACCATGCTAGGTACCATGCAATACAATGCCACTCTAATGCCACTAAGGGGCTTCAAAATGACCTCAGCTCAATTTCTGACATGTTACAGGAAAATCGTTTTAATAGGGTTTTTGTTTTCAACTCTACCATTTTTTTCACACATTGAACAGGTATCTGATAAAGAAATAAAACTCTACAGAAGGAAAAAAACTAATAAAACCTTCACAGGATCATTTCAGTTCTTTGTGCAGGGCATCAGTTATCGTATATGACAGCAACATTAGATGTTCCTTGAGTTTCAGATTAACATATACAAGAGAGAGATCAAGAGTTCATTAAAAGCACTGACGCTCAGGGGAAGCTTTGACAGTCATTTTACAGCAGTCCATCAAACATTCATTGAAGCATCTTTTGTTCCCTCTTCCAGTTGGCTCGGGCTCTCATCGGCATTGTTTTCCTCAAGCTTCCTCTTAGTCCCCATGGAGCCTTTTGCCAGTGCGGTCCACACATACTGTGAGTCTTTGCATGATGCACAGACCACTTTAACATTGAACACAACATAAACGTGACTTTGAATGCGGTATATAGAGTCTGTGATATGGTGAGGGAAGGGATATCTTGGGTGATAAACTGCATCCTCGCCGTGGGAAGAGAGGCGGGGTAGTGATAAGAATCCACAACAACGGCGACAGTAGCGGGAGAAGAATAGTGCACTGAAGAGAAGTGAAGCTCGGGAGGAAAGGCGAGGGCGATGCGCGGCACTGCTGCCACTCAGCATACCTGCAGACAAGAAGAGAGACAGGGAAAAGCGTCAGGGCCACTGCCACAACAGACCCTAATGTTTGTTTCCTTCTTATTCAGGTGTTCTCTTCATTTCAAATTCAAGTTCATTTTAGCTTTAAGATGCCCTCACATAAATAAAATGAAATCTATTGTGTAATACCTATTTGAGGATGAATTCATCTAAATAAAGCATAGTGATATAGTGGCTGAACATTGGTTGACATGGGCCTATCAACAAATAAGATGGCATACACCAATATCAGCGGCAGATCGATCTGTTGCTTTGCATGAATTTTGCACCGGTTAAATGTTGTGTTGGTTATTTCCAACTCGGATATTGGAGAAAGAATCCATTTTCGAGCACTGGCACAAATTGCACACTAATACTGATGTGCTCCATGCAGCAGCATGGACATTGAGCGGCTGTTCTGTCTCACTTCTTGGATGAGGCTGCAACAAAGCAGAGATGCCTATCTTTGTAGATTTCATTGTTCCCTGGGCTCAAAAGGGGGAATAAATAACAACAAAAAACATCCGTACTGGCATCAACTGTCGGCCAAACTGTTATTTTAAACATCAGAATCAGTATTGGCCCAGAATTTCCCAATTGGTGCATCCCTACTAATAGTGCACTGGTTGCGTCCAGTTACCAGGTGGCCTTTCAGTTTCAAAACCAAGGAGCAATACCACACAAATTAAATAAACTATTTTTTACAACTAAATTCACTTAAAATGACACAAACAGTAGGTTAAAAAAAACATTGCGATACGATTCACAATTAGTGGGAATAATAATAATCAGTAGTCACAATTTTTCATTGAAAAAAAACCCCTATTAAATTCATGATGTTGTGACATTTTGGCCTGTGTACCAAAGACACGTATTTTCTTACAGCTGGAGAACAAGATATATAGGACAGGACGTCTCTGCAGTCTACAGCACTCAGTAACAATGTTGTTTGTCCCACATTTTACTTTTATCAAAAAATTGCAGCTTCTGAGATTTGCATATTTCACTTGGTCATACTGTGATTTCGATAATATTTCAATTAATTGTGCAGCCCTGATTAATTTATTAATTACATTTTAAACTATCCTACATCATGTGGAGCCTTTTGATTTGTAACAAACAATGTATTTTATGAACTGATGATAATATGGTTTATATATAAAATAAGAATAATTAGTAATAGTAATTAGTGATTTCAGATAAATGTAGTGGAGCCAAAAGTACAATATTTCCCTCTGAAAGTATAAATGGGAATTACTCAGGTAAAGTAAAAGTACCTCAAAAGCACAGTAATTAACTAATTGAACTTACTGTCTTGTACATTATCTTTTCTGTCGAGTGTTTTTCAACTGTTCTTGCAACGGTTATCTTTTAGACTTTTACAGTTTTTCATAATAATAACAATAGCACCTCTGAATTTTCAGCATATTTTTACCACTTTGCTACAGCGTTTTCTTCATTTAATTACATGCCCTGCTGTGGCAGCCATTTTCCCTATCAACATATTCAGTGACATTCATGTAGGGAGTTCTGCTACGAAGTACAGACGTCCTGTAGTGTCATATCAGAAACCCCTTTATTCACCTTCTGGTCTGTCAGTACAGAGTTGCTCTGAAGTGGAGGCAGGTGGCTGTTGAGCAAGGCAGCGCCGGGTCTGTCATGCTCACAGAAGATTGTACCATTGATGTAATGGAAGCGATCGCCAGGCATCAGTCTGTTTCTACAGGTGGCACAGCTGAAACACTGCAGAAGACGGAGGAAAAAACCAAAGGGTCAGAGATGGAAATCTGAAAATGCATCAAATTCAGGCCACTAAAGCACATTCATATACTATGACCAAAGTCACCTAATGTGAGAGACTGAAACTGGAACTTTAACTTCTTTAAACCTCTTAATATGTGTCTCAAACTAAGTTTAAAATGGAGTGCTGATATTGAGGGACGCGTCTTCCCGTCTCACTGTCTCTACCCACCAAATCCCAGATGTTACTGTCAAACAAGCAGTGGGAGACAAAGCGCGCTGATGTGAGAGCTGGGGATTTACCTTGAGGTGGTAAACATTTCCCTGTGCCCTCATCACCATTTCGTTGGCTGGGATCGACTGGCCGCAGGCGCTGCACGCCCCGCTGTGCCCGAACAGTCTGCAAACACAAAAAACACAGATTGCTCAGTCTGCACGGCCTCCAAAATCTAAAACCAGCAGCTTCATCTCCCCCTCCTCCTCCTCCTCCCTCCCTTCCTCCTCCTCCTACCTCCCTTCCTCCTCCACCACCTCTTCCTTCCTCTCACCTGATGTAGTCGCTCCGACACAGAATCATGCCCCCTTTGCTGTAGCAGGTGGTGCCAATGTCCCCCAGCTGGGCTTGGCAGCAAGAGCACTTGAGGCAACGAGTGTGCCAGTAGCGTTCCATGGAGAAGAGCAGGAAGCGGTCGGCGATCTTCCCCCCGCATCCTGCACACGACCTGGGGGCCGGCGGTACGCCTGACGCTTGGCTGTTTACCATTCTGCCCTCAGAGGCTCCTGGACACACAAAATATAGATCTGACAACTGAGACAGGTGCAGGCTAGCTACGTTCACTTAAACACATTTTGTAGGAGAACAGAAAAGCAGTCTGATTCTTAATACAGTCTGAAATCGTTGTCTTAAAATAGTCATGTTTGTGTGAAATGTGTTTATTTCTAGGGCTGCAACTTTTCATTTTCATTATTGATGAGTTGATCATTTTCTCAATTAATGTAGGTTGTTTTGTCCGCAAGCCAAAGATATTCAGTTTACTGTCATAGAGGACTAAAGAAAGCAGAAAATATTCACTTTGGAAAGGCTGAATTCAGAGATTCTAGAACATTTTCTCATAAAATGACTCAAAATGATAATCAAGATAGTTGGCGATGAATCCATTAATCGACCAATGGCCACAGCTCTAAATATTTCTGTTTCTATTGGTGCCTATTTACTTGACAATAATTCCAAGTGGGAGCTTATAGTAAAGCCCTTTTTGTGTTGACCACACACACCAGCCATTTCCACTTGCTCAAACAAACCTACACAGGGCTTCAGCATGACTGCAACTGATTGATAACATAACACTTTAAGAGCTGTAACAGGTTGACCTAAACACTATCACACTGATCAATACAAGAGGGAGTCATTGAATTAGCTCCACTGATACACAGTCAGCAGCAAAGGAAATGTAAAACAAATTGATCTTTTTTTAACTTAAATACATAAAAACAAATAATACAATAAATAAATACATTAAAAAAAATATTTTAAGATTCTTCACAGATCTATCTATCTATCTATCTAAGAATATTTTCTAAGATTGTACACGTAGACCAGGGGATTTAACTTCCAGGCACTAACATTATGTCAGCAGTAGGGGTGTAAGAACTATCGTATTGCAGTATTTTATTTTGTGATACACATAAACTGAGGGCTGTGATATTACAGTGAATGGGATTAATACAAATGCAGCTCCCACTGTTTTTAACTTGTTTATGCATATGGTGGTGTGTTCCTTATACTATACTATACTATACTATAGTATATACTATACTTATACTATGACAGTTTGGGATTTTTTAAAACTAAATGTATCAATATATCGCCTTGCTTACAATATCGCAATCAGTGTTGGGCTAGTTACTCAAATTTCTTTATTTATTACTCAGTACTCATTGCTCTTCAAAAGTAATATGTATTACTTTACTTATTACTCCCTGCCAACAGTAATTCATTACACTACAAGTTATATTACTTTTCCCACAAAACTGATAATTGTGTCCTTTCTCCCCAAAATTCAGACTTTATGCTTAAAATCCAGTTTTGTTTGTTAAAATCAAAGTACTAGTAAGAATAGGTTCGAGCTGCTGAATGAAAGCATTTCCATCTTCCTAAATAGTTTCCTCCACGATTACAAAATGAATCCAACCATGTGATTGGATTGCTGGATTTCAGATCAGTAGGGGCTGACAACAAAAGCACAAAAGCTAATACTGTAACTGATTACGTCTGGGGGCTAACTGTAATATAATTACTGAAATGTATCAGTAATTAGTTACAGTTACTGGAGAAAAGTAATAGAAGTACTAGTAATGAGTTACTGCCCAACACTGATCAATATATCACCATATACTGTATCGAAACCCCGTATCGTGATACAATACCAATACACAGCTACAGTCAGCATGTATTTTGATGTGAGAGGGGGAAAGTCACCAAATGGGACTTTTGGAAGAGTGCCAGTAATAATGAGACTGAATGTCATACTTTATTATTATATGCATATTTAAAGTATTTTATTCTCCATTTAACTTTACACAGTGTTTCATTATTTGAGCTTTAACCCCGTGCTGTTTCCAACCAGGAGGTGCTAGCTTAAAAACGTTTAGGAAGGCGCGCGCGTATGGAGCAGTAATGAGGGAAAGAGACGTTAACGTTACCTCTCGAGCCGGAGCTGTTCCCTCCTGCGTTGAAGTTTGACAAGGTAGAAAAAATATTCACAAGAAGCTCGACACGCTCACAGCTGTAAAACCGCTCTTAGACTTGACATGTCTTGGTTTCCATAGCTCTCCAGAAAAAAAAGGCAAAAGCGACACATTAAAGCCCGGGACGGCGCGGTGACGGTACTAGTTGAGCAAAACTCTTCCCGACATCCAGCTCCGCGGATGGATAACTACATGTAACCGTGAGGAGGAGACATGACGCAGCTTCTCTTCCTCTCCCCTCTGTCAGAGCTGTCTGTCTATCAACATGCCTTCATCTGTTTCTAACGCTTTTGACAGCGACACTATTCATCAAATTGCGCAAGGGGCTATTTAAATTACCAAGAGGGGGACGCAGCCGACATGAAGCGCGCAGCAGCCAATGAGAGAGCAGGGGGGCGTGTCCACAGTCAAAATGATTTATGAGTTTATAGTGGCTGATTAATATGCACATTCACATCCCATAAGATCCCCATAGGATGTCACTGAGTGTGTGCGCATGGGAAACAGCTATGAAAACAAATGATGGAACGTTTTTTTTTTACTTTACATCGATGTAAATCAGTGGTTCTCAACCTGGGGTCCGGGCGTATGGGTTTCACACTCTCTTCACTGTTAATCTGCCAAATTACACTAGAGACAGTTATTATGGAATAAATAAATCTTAACAGTCGGGGGTCCCTGATACAAATACAAGTCTGTTGTGTATCAGTTTGGGGTTTCTTGATACCAGGAACATTGACAACCACTGATGTAGACAATAATAATTGTACGAGGAAGAAATATTTCCATAAATGTCCAAAATTGCTTTATTAATCAGAAATTATTATCTTATTGCCAATAGAATTAAGGAACAATTAGTCTTTTTTTTTCTGAAGAAGAATTATACGATTTTGAGATAACATTTTTACTGTAGTCATAACAAAAATTGTATTTGTATGTGTAAATATGCAACTTATGATTTCAATGCATGTTGGTTACAAAGAGGCAAATTTCACACCAGCACGTCACACATTCATAGTGTAGCCTAAGGCTTACGGAAATGGTGTGTGTGTGTGTGTGTGTCTGTGCCCCAATATCTCATCCTCTTATCCATACACTTTTTTTTATACTGTTATTAAAATCATAATCATAATATTCTATGGCCACATTAACCATTGAAGCCAGCAATCATACTTGCATACATTGATAAAAGACACAGTGTATGGACTATGATGAGGACACACTTGATCTTCTTAATCTAGTCCGCTCCATCCACCTCACAGGAAGGTCAAAGTGCTGGTGAAGATGACAGAACAGGGATTCATTGTTGTTCAAGGACTCTTACAGGCCAGATTAGGTCTCAGTAGGTCCCTGGTCTCAGTCAGTACATCAGTACGTCAAGCTGGCCTGTACTTCCAGTTGAGTTCCAGTAGAGGACAGCATCCTATAAGGAGGAACAGAGAACATTGCATTGGCAGGGTTATATTGCATATCCTGATATATGAGGTTCAATATAATGGAATGAGAGAAACACAAAACAGAGCATGAACTGAAAAGCATTCTCAAAGGATCAGCAATCAGGTGTGTATATGTATATATATAAATATATATATATGCTTTCAAACTCTGTTTCATTTGTTGTAGAAATACATTAAAGAGGTTTCTGTGGAAATCATCATATGTAGCCTTCATTGTCTATCAAAGTTGCCCACATAGTTACTTTTTGTGTGTTCTATTATTACATTGACAACTCTAAAGAAATAAATATATTCAGTAACTATCAATTACTGTATGATTCCCACTGAAGAATGTGAGAATGAGTTTCTAATTGTGACCACTGAATTTCTGTTGGTCAGGCAATTGCCCATTGGTCTGTTCATAGTTTGCGTGAATTCAGACAGGTAAAACAAATGACAAAGTTTGTTTTAGTGCGAATGTAGTTTTTTTTAAAGTCTGTCTGTCTGAGCTCCATGTCTAGCAGGTGACACTCTTGCCGGTCAGGGGCGTAAGACTGGGTAGAAATAACGGGGACTGAATAGGCCCTCATGAGGAGAGCCAAAAAAATCTTATTACCTTAATTAATCACAGATTATTCTTTTTTTAATATTGTTTTGGGGCTTTTTCCCTTTATTGGATAGAACAGACAATAGACAGGAAAGGGAGGGATGACAAGCAGCATGGTGGGATTCGAAGTAAGCCTTTGTACATGGGGCGCCCCAATTAATCACTGATTTAATTCACCTGGTAAGCGTGCTAAATGACCCAAATCAACCCACCATGTTGGTACAAGGGGTGGGGGGGGGGTGGGTGGACTGGTTATAGTGGGACATTGACATTCAATGCAATTTATTGTGTAGCCTAAATGTGTTCTAATTTAACATTAACATCATATATTATCACATAACACTACTTGCATTTGCAAGTAATTATACTCTATAAAGCAAAATATAATATTCCCTGTTGACAGGTTACACTGGTCTGGAGACAGAAAACTTAGAAGACTTACTATTGATAGAGTTGATATATGATTTATCCACAAGTTTAACATTGACCACTGGAGGGCAGTGAACACTCATGATTCTAAATATATTCACGTCAACCAGCTCCACTACTGCAAGGTTCTACATCAGCTGGAGCTGATCTAGCACAGACTGGCTGAGGCAAGGTGTTAGTTAGGCAAGCTGTGATATTCTCTAATGTAGGAACAATTAGCCTAAAAAGCAAATCAGTGCTTCTGCAATGTAAATGAAGTAAAACCAGATCAAAGAATTGTTTTTTACGAATGCAAATGGGGATCAAACTAAAAGCAAAACCTCTTTTTATGTAGGACTTAACATTTGAAGTGAGTAGAACACATTCAACATAGGCCAACTTTACTGTGGACTGGAGGAGAACTGCAGACACATATGTGCTACCTGTGCTACACATTGTGTTTCCTCTCACTTCTTATCACCTGTCAGCTGTGAACTGTAGGGTAGTCTGGCCCAAAAAGTAGAACCGGACTCCATTTTTTCCACACTGCAATGCAACATAATCAGACTACACACTGCACTAACATTAGCTAGCAAACCTAAGATGTGACAGTGCAGGAAAGGAGAAAGCTGACCAAGGTTCCAAAAAGGGCAGGGCTTAGGAAAGGTTAATTGATACCAGCAGCAAACAATGTGGTAGTAGCATCATTGTCAGCAGTAGCAGTAATAGTAGCAGTAGTAGCAGAGCTACCAACTCTCATGCTTTCGCCGTGTGACACAAGTTTTTGCCTGTTTTCACAGGCATCCAATTTCTGATCCAAAATCTGATCTTGGGCCGAGACTTGTTCGCTCCTTTTTAAACTCCGTTGATGAGCGCCACTGAACCCTATGCGCTGCACCCATATATGCTGCACCCCGTTCTATATATACAGTCTATGGCATAGATATACATAATAAAGACCTTTATTATGTATATCTATGGTCTATGGCACCCCGAAGTTAGCGACAGAAGAAGAGATACGGAGAAAGACAGCGGGAGAAACTACCTCGAGAAGTCTGATGAGAATCAGAGCTGAGACTAGGTATGTAACAATGAAATGTCGTCCAATTGAGTAATCACTCTCTTAAACTTTCAATCTTGAAATAAATTGTTTGTGTTTTTTATATATTTTTTCTATTTGTTTGCGTGTGAACATGATTTAGTGTGGTGAAAGCTGTCATAACAAGCAGCAGGAGACCCGTTTTTGGCTGAACAAAAATCATGAAGTGCTCTTAAGAATACAATTATTCACAACATAGGTTAGGTTTCAGTTAAGAATTAGTTTAATACCATTCTAATTAAAATATCAATCAACCTACAGGTACCTAGGTCAAATCTTAAACACTGGTCTATGAATAAGGCTTCATTGTGATACAGGCAGTCATTTAGGCACAACAATAGTTTCCTAGTTGAATGTTCAGCTCAAGTCTAGAAGGCCCTACAAGTCATGATGCCGAACATGAATCAGAATAAGTTCAGGTATTGCACATCTTTAGCAGACCATCCAAAAATCCATTAGAATGCAGGAAATCACATCTACTTAATCCAAAATTTCCTGGGGGTGGACCTCCAACTATGTCTGCTTCTCAGAATGTAACCAATATTGTCCATCTCCAGTAGGCTGCCCCTATCAGCGGCTTTGGGCCTCCCCACAAACCACCAGAATGCAGGGTACAACATGGGTACACAACAACATCAAATGAATTCCAATTCTCTGATATCTGAGCCACCAACTTGTGTGGCTGCGTGCGCGGCATAATTTTGGTCACCCCCGACAAAATGTCACTCCAAGGTTTTTTGAAAAGTTGGCAGGTATGTAATAGAGACACAACGGTAGTAGTAGTTATTGTAGCGTAGTCCTTTAAATCAGTCTTGACGTCACAGCGTTTACTTGACTGTGAACACTTTATGGAAATGTTGACTTTAGTTCCATAAAAGATGTTAGCTGTCTCTCTTAAAAGAGGATGAGTCATGTCCCACACATTCGTTTTCAGAACAACAAGCCAATAACAACTCATACGTAGACGTGTGTTGTTATCCCACATTGTGCCGAAGAGGAACCACTTTGACACATCCTTTTTCAAAGTGCATGGCAGGATGGGGGTGGGGGTGGGGGGATTTCCTCTGCTGTGGACGGTGTGGCAGCGCAGGCCAACTTCCACCACTTTCCGAGGCCCCGTTGATTTCCGACATATTTCCTGTTCCTCTGTCATGGTCATGCTGAAAGTCACAGCTCTCTGTGAGGCTGGACAACACCTGTATCTTCCAGTCTGGGTTCCCAGCCAATATAAACCTGCTGTGGAGCATCACAGCGCCGCACACTGCCAAGACAATCACATTTATGAAGCTCCCTCACTGTGATGTGGAGAGATCCTTCCATCTGAGGCTCTATTTTCTCTCTCCTGAGGATAAGCACCTCAGTGTCATCTGAGTTTGGTGGTATTAGTTTAGAAATGAGTCATCCTTGATCTCCTGAGTCCACAGGGACTGGATTGTTATGGAGTTTGGAGTAGTGTGATACAGAAAGGGAAAGTCTGCAAATTGGTTGTTTCTCAATGGAAATGAGTGAATGATGATTCTTTACAGCAATGCTAGAACAATGTTTTTTCCAACTTATTTAACTCTTTGGAAGAGCTAGCAATGGAAAGGCATGGACAAGTCTGAAATTAGAAGTCATGGTCAAGAACAAAGTCTGTCAGTGGGCTGTGGTAGGCCAGTCTAAAGCCGCCATTGTGCACAGTTTACACAATTTTATTCAATAAAAATGTACCAAACAGTTTAGGTTTTTTTCAGCTCTTTTTTATAAAAATGTTTTGTATGAGTTGTGTGTCTACACATGGTGGGTATACTTGGATTAAGATGAACACAAATGAACCAAACGTGGGAATTAATTGTACTTTGTGCGCACGCATTAGCATTTTGAGTACTCAATGTAGTAAAACGTGATCTTGATATATATTTTTTTCTCTCTTCGGCCACTCCGTACATTATAACCCACTGCATATAAATGTGTGATTTGATTTGTAAAGTGTTACCCTCAGTTTTCATCTTTTACATTTTTGTTATATTTGCTATTAAAATTAATAACTTTTTTTGTTTTAATTTGTTCTGAAAAACATTTACAAATTTTATCTAAGCATGTATTTCTGAGATATTTCTCTGTGTATTTGGTGCAAAGCTCTCACTGCTGTGTAGTCTCCCAGAGATTACCTAGAGAGCACTGCTTTTTTGGCCATGGTGCTTATTGTCATCATTGCGAACCACGCAGTTCAGTAAAACTGTATATGACAAGTCAAATATTTTCCTAATAATGTCCTAGAAAGGAGCTTATACAGGGATACACAATGTGGATTTTTTTTTCAGACAATATGATAACCAATAATTACCTGCTTCTCGTGGCCGATACCGATACGATAACTGATAATTGCACACTTTTGTATTTTTAAAAGAAGCTCGTAACCTGTAGTTTTAAAACTAAATGAGCCGAGATGGATGATTTAATATTCCATAGCTCTGTTCTAACCAGATCTAACTGACATCACTGTTGTTGACAACAACAACAACAAACTACAGTTCTGACTCAATTTCAATTTCAATTCAATTTCAATTCAAATGGCTTTATTGGCATGACGTAGCATTGTACATATTGCCAAAGCAAGCATTTGGAATTCAAAATAATAATAATAACAATAAAGGAAAACAATATTTACAATAAATTAATTATAATCTATACTGTTGGTAATACTGTAACTATGATTGACTCAATCACAATCACAGTCACAATCAATCAATTTCAGTCAATAAGTAATTAATTACAATGAATGTGTTAACTAAAAATGTCATTAAAACAGTAGTAAAGTAACAGGCTACAGTTAAAATAAGTAGTCTGTTGTCAATATAACAGTAATAACAAATTATTAAATATAATATTAAAATATATTAAAATTAAAATAAAATAGATAAAACTGTAAACATGTGTGTGTGTGTGTGTGTGTATATATATATATATATATATATAAAAAAAAAACAACAAAAAAAAAACTTCAAATGTTCATTTAGGTTTTCTAGTAAAGTTTATCAAAAAACTTCCTGGAAAAGACAAAGTGATGTTATGTTTACGTATGTTGCATACCAATGTTGTTACTGTTACTGAATGGCAGCACTAAGGCTGTGTGAGGTAGCGTGAAAGCTAGACTCTTAATAGCGGAATGGGTTAAACACACGTATTTTTTAAACCCTTCATAATAATATAAGTTTACTGTATTTGTACGATTTGTACACATTCCCATCTGTTAATTTTAACACGTGAATTTGTCAATTTTGTTTCTTTCTGTATATAAGAAAATCTACCTGACAAAAAATATAATTTTAACGCATTGATGTTGTAATTCTTACTCTACTGTATTACAGTTTTTCTGTTTAAACTACAGTAATCTGGAAATTGCACAAATAAATATTATCTATCTTTTCACATATTCTTACTTTAAAATCGACATATTATTGTAAATGATTCTGTTCTAAACTTGAAACATCTAAAATGTGTCCTTTGGTGTGGTTATAAATTACAGGCAAGCATGCAATTCAACATATACAGAGTGCTCCCAGCTCTATACTGAGCTCAACCAACCATTAACCCTAACCCTAACCCTCAGTGAAGGTGGAGACCCATATGTTTTGGAATTGAACAGGATGAGAAACCAGCCCTGAAATATTTTCCCAGTGTCTGCTAGCATCTGATTCTCATAGTGCCATGAATTCCACTGAAATGCCACAATGGCTGTTAAACAAATGAGCAGTCAGATGTTGTCATGGGACACCAGCTTTCGTGTGCAACAATTCTGTCGGAAGAATCATTTCCCCGAATTTACACCAACCAAACAGCCCCAGCAGACAAACATTGTCATCAAGGGTAATGTTGAGTCATCAAATAGGAACCAGTGGCACTTTCAGTGACGACAGCACATGGTAAAGAAGTCTCCATGGTGAGACGGTATGCCATGTGTGCTTTTTGGTTCCTGCCTGCCGGTCGGATGGTAAAAGAATTTAGCCTCGTCTGGAGGAGGATGCAGAGGGGGATACTAATATTTGACCTGTTGTCAGTTGAATTTAAGATAGATAGTCCCATTTAGAAAACATTTTATCCAGCCCAACTTGGAACACCCATGTTAAAAAGTAACCAAAACACTGGATATATGGTAGTGACAAATACTCTCTTACTCTCTTTTTGTCTTATGACCGCACTACAGCCACGTTCTGTGGACAGCTTTTCACAAACGTTTCATTTATCTCACACATCACTTTGCAAACAGTTCTGAGACAATAAGCCAATCAGTCAAACATGCTGTCTGGGTGGGAGGGCGTGGCTTTTTAATGCGACAAAATCACATTTGAAGCAGAGTGTTTGTTTCCTTACAGTATAGTTCCTGGCCAACAAGAGTCCTTATGTTTGAATACTTGGGGATCTGAAAAAGCGCCACCATAGGACCAAAACTTACACTTACTTACTTACTTACTTACTTACTTACTTACTTACTTACTTACTTACTCAAGTACTTACTTACTTACTTAAGTACTTACTTACTTACAAACTATCAAAATCTAATGGGCACATTGAATTCCCTGAACACATTCACACTCCCTACAGAATGAGCTCTTTCAACTTATGACACTTCAAGAGCTGTCTCCTCTTGCACCACCCTAATTTCTGGCACTCTGTCTGTACTACCCACCAGGCAGATGCTACTCAAGTACGATCCAACCACACTAAATATCTCTGGTTGGTTGGAAGTAGAAGTTGGAGAGCTGGTAGTGATGAAGCCCGCACCAGTAGTTCTGACTGGGGCAGTCAGGAGGGCGAAGTGTTCCTCTCTCCTCTCAGAAGGAGGCAGAGGCCAGGGTGAGGAATTTAGTAGCCTGCCGTAATGTTTGTGCTCCAGAGCCAGCCGGAGCATTCTGTAAGTCCACGAGGCAACACGAACACAGAGATCTGGGCACTGAGAAGCTCTGATTTATTAACATACCCTATCGGCATTATTCTAATGTTTTCCACTGAGATCTCCAATCATCTGGTATCGCAAGACTACGAGGAAGTTGATATTTTTGTTTGAAAGTTGAATGTTTCAATAACTATAGGATGGATTGCCATGAAATTTGGTTCAGACATTAATGTCCTCCTCGAGATGTATAGACCTTTTTCACAGCAGCCATTCGGACATGAAATAGTAGGGTAACCACAGGTGTTAGAGATGGTACTCATTAAGGTTCAGTTCCATTCAGGTCAAACAGAGTCAGGGTGCTGCTGTTGTTCATGTTGCCTCACTGTAAAGCCTCTGCTACACTAAATGGAACAGAACCTTTATTAATATCATGGGTAACACCTTTGTTTACCCTACTATTATATATCAAAATGGCTGCTGTGATAAATGTCTGTTGTAATGACTTGATCCCCTGGTCTTTCCTCAGCGCCATCATCAGGTCAAAATTTTAATTTGTTCAATACATTTACCAAATACCTGCAAAAATAATAAATAAATAATGAATAATCATTTTATGTCTCAGCTTTGCAGTCATTCTCAATGTATACAAGTCCTACACTATGTGTGGACACCAGTGTGCAGAAATATCCAAACAATACATTAAGAGAACATTTCAACACATTTATACCACATGCAAAAGACTGCATGGGATTAGAATAAAGTGGGCTTGTCTGTAAAGGGGAGACATGCGGATACACATAGAGCCCATTTTCATTCAGATAGCTTGAGGTCAGAGGTCAAGGGGAAATTGGCCATGTCAGTTTTTCCATCTGCAAAATTTTGCCTAACTTTGGAGCATTATTTATCCCCCCTCCCGACTTGCTAGCATGACATGGTACCAGTGAATGTGTTAGGTCAGCTTGTTTCATATGATACCAGTATCTTCAGTCTAGCTAAAAACAGAGCCTGAAAGACAAGTGAAAGAGGGAAGAATAAAGAGGTGGCACCTGGGGTGGCCAATCAGATTTCACAGGTGGCCAGTCTGCTTAATAAGAACTCTTCTCAGGACTGTGTGGGTGTGTATACTGTATTTGACTGACATCTTGACGTCACCTGAGTCTCCTGTTAGCTTTGTTGCACCTGTTAAGGCAGGACAAATTACATCTTTATCATAGTTATTGGTAGACCTAATAAATTCAGCCAGAATAACTGCAAACACCTGTGTGGGTGTTCACAGGCTTTAATTCAAACTTTAGCCAACAAATAAGAAACATTATAGGTTGATACGTTTTTATTTGATGTACAGAAGTCTACAGACAAAAACATCCAATGGACACATGTAACATGTCTTAAATATAGAGCATAATTTCTTCCCTAAGAATAAAGCATTGTATGTACACTGTGAAGGACACACACACAAAACATAAAATAAAATCACACCCCGTAAAATGAGGTGATCCTAGAATTTACCACTCCACAATTAAGAGTGAAGTCTATGTACACTATATGCTTTAATCTATATACTGTAGTAGCATAATGAGCACATTCTCTGTAAACAAAAAAGTTATGTTTCTTCTAACATACCAGTACACTTTCACCTACACACGCACCAACACACACACACACACACACACACATTTCTGGGGACAAGTTGCATTCTCTAGCCCCTTACCCTAACCTTATTCTAACCCTAACCCTAAAAGACAGGCCTTTGAACTGGTTGGGTCCAGCATTCTGGTCCCCACAAAGCTGTCGGATCCCACAAATGTAGTAAAACAAGCCCACACACACACACACACACACACACACACACACACACACACACTCTTAATGAATTCCACAATCAATACATATGTAGGAAACATTGTATGACAAAGGACAGGCAATGATGAACACATAGTTCCTATAGTCACTAACGTATATGTCTTATGTCATCTAGTTCTTCCTCATTAATTAAATTGCATGTCCATAAATCCCATCACAACTCATCAATGTTCTCCGTCTGTTACTGGTCTAAACAGCCAACTGTCATGTGGCCCTCTGTGGAGAGGACACAAATAAATAAAAGAAGTTTCAGTAAAAGCTGTCTGCCAACAGTTAGCACACTGCAGTGTGTTGTCCTCAGTGCTGCCCTGGTACTAGAGAGCTAACACACCTCTAGTGTGGACAAACTGATGCCATCGTGGCAGGAAGCTTAAAGTGCAAGCGAGCGTATTGCCTGGTTAGGGAGGAGGAGGAGGGGGCTGACAGGAGCTCACCCAGGGGGAGGGGGTGCAGAGTCTTTGCCCAGTGTGCCAGGCCAGGGCTGAGCGTGATGAGTCAGCCTCAGTGCCTGAAGGTGTGGATGTCGTTGTGGAGGCTGACTGAAGGGCTGGAGGGCCCGCTGTGTGTGCGACAGCTTGTACTGCAGCTGCAGCGCTGGATCCACATGACGTTTCTGTAGAAGCCCTCTCCGTCCGGGCAGTGGAAGCGAAGCCTCACAGTGCGAGAGTGGGAGGGTGTGCAGCAGCGGCCATCAGCGCAAGTCCCACAAGTGCGAGGGCGGTACCGCTGTGCTGTCGAGCATCCGGCGAAGGTGATTCTGACCTCTTCCTGTGGGCGGACAGTTCGCTGACACTTCCTCCCCTTCTGGACAACAGAAACGGAGATCAGAACAGATCATTAGAGTGACATAATGAAACACCTATTCAATTTTCATCAAGGACAATGCAGTGTTTATTTTCCATACACTGTGAAATTCACATGAACTCTTTAACTGACAAATATGATCAACCCAAAGCCAGTTTTATCTATCCTATCTATGTTTAGCATACCTTGCTAGCTACAGGAAGCTGCAGCTCACATTGCCGGATCTGGCACAGTCTGGTTTCTCTGACCAGCCGACAGTCTGGGTTACTATTGGTCACTCGACTTGAAATGCCCATCCCACATGTGGTGGAACACTCGGTCCACTCTGTGGTTTGCGGGAAGCAGCTGTGTTCAAGTAACACCTCAGACATGGGGACCGATGCCATCTCTGTGGGAGAGCCAAAAAATGAAAGACAGCGAGTTACAATCAAACAACGTATGCCTGCAACCATTCAGCATTATGATGTATTTGTGAAAAAAAAGTAATTCACATATTCATGAACTTTGCTTCAAATTATGCTTATGTGATTCTATTTTCTGCTCCAGTACTAGAAGAACATGGGGATGTTAGTCGGTTGTTTTGTTTTACACAATATCTCAATAGCCACATTTTCATGAAATCCTTAAGACATTTATGATCCACAAAAGATAAATCATAAAGATTCTGGCAACCCCATGACCTTTTACCTAGAAAGGTCACTAGCAGGGCTTAAGACATTAAATGTTGTTTACAGCCCCTGAAAGGAACCTTTGTGTTTTCTGGCGGCCCTTGTGGACAAAAGTGGTAGTGTTTTTTATTTATTTCAAAGGGACACTAACCCAATCTGACCTGGCAGCAGGCATTAAGAATAACTATATAGAAGTAGTTCATCTTCTCTCTAATGGTCTTGTTTGTTCATTTTAAATATATTTATTACCCATTTTTTACCAGTTCGCAGCCAGTACCAAATCTCAAACCAGTTATTCACACAACAGCCAAAGAACTGGCTCGAACAGCTTCTGTCATAACATAGATTTTATATACGTAACATTGAGCTAGCTGCCAGCTGTTTGTGAACTAACATTTCCCCAGCAAGCATAGCGACTAATTTCTCACAGTGGTCATTCATAACATTTATGTTACATTCAACGTTTATAAAATCTAATATTTGTAACGTTAGCTGACCAACAGCTAGCTAGCTAGGCAGCTAGTGTAACTTTGGTAACAAAAGCTAACATTGGAGACGTTTACAGTGACGTAATGACGTAATGACGGAATGACGTGGCTCTACGGTGGTTCTCTAGCCGTTGAAAAAGAAAACCGGTTCTTAGAAGGTTTCTAATAAAATGTTGGAGTCATAGCCTGCACCAGTGGATTTGTTTAACCATGACATTTTATCATAATGTGGAAAATTTCATTTTCAAGGATGTTGGCGCTGTGCATCTCCTGCACATCTACATGAAAAACTTCCTTCAGACCATATTTAGTGATGGTGGTGGGCGCTGGGAAAAGCCTTGCTGGGTTACGCTGTGATTTTTACCTCTGAATGTGGCCCCTCTGGTGGCAGCTGGGTGCAGAGGCTGCAGCTGGACCTGCAGCAGGGTACTGATGTGGTTGGGAAGGGGCTGGCTGTCTGGCAGGGGGGTGTGTGTCAGCTCGTCTGGCTCTTGACTGATGTGGTTGTCATCGTCACACACCCATTCCTCGCAGCAGCCGCCCTCAGGCCTGGTCAGCCGGGTCCTCGAGCAGCGCCACTCGGGCAGGGGCACTTGGTGAGGACAGAGGGGCATGCAGCCCACCACCCCGTCCATACAGGTGCACTGGTGCTGGCAGCTGGGCTGGAAGTCCTCGCCGTGCTGGTACACCCGCCCGCTGAACTCGCAAGGCAAACCCTGGGCCTCAGCTGTCAATACACACACACAAAACAGGAAACAGAGCTGTGAGGAAAGACCTGAGGGCTTCACAGAAGGATAGATAGAACCCTAGCATCTGTACTCAAATACATCATAGCCTGTCAGAAGAAACTGCGCAAAGAGATATATTTTCAAAAAAGGAATATTTCAGGATTTCATGCTCTTTGAACAATTTAAAGGGATATGCCAATGATTTTGGATTGCAATTCCAAATTAAAAAAGATCATTTGTGCAACAGAGTACCGTAATATCGTGTCTGTTAGTCATGACTATACACTACACTCAACCTACAACTTAATAGCACCTTTTATTAGACCCTTGCACTCACATCTTTAGAACCTCACACCCCCAGTTTGTAATGCAGTTTTTTGGGTTAAGTTTTGTATTCTCTAAAATAACCCTCATCACCAGGGTTATTTTGTTGGACCTGAAAGAGGTCTTCCACCAGGGGTGGAGCCAGACATTGTAAACATTTGGGGCTTAGCCCAAACCTAGGGGTGTCTGGGTGCATGACATGTTTTCCCGTTTACAGCAGGTGTATGCACGGTTTGTCAAGTAAGTTAAGATAATAGAATGACTGATGATCTGTACATCATTTGGGAAAACTAATTATAGTTCACCCAGTATAGCCTATACATCCTGTTTTCCTTTTGGGTTACATTATCTAGTCCAGTGGTTCTTATACCTTGTGGTCTGTGGACCCTTAAAATGAATGAATGTCTACTTGTGTCTCCACATGACATTACTTGAGCTGTTCAACCAAGGGAATTGACTGCTTTAAAGAAATGATGCAGTATTTTACAAGGAAAAAATACAATCAAGAGAAAAGTCAGAAAAACATAAACAAACATCCTTTTAATTATCTGGTGACCCCTTTTGTTACTACATTGTTTCATGTTCTTCACTTTTTATTTTTAACTACATTCAGGATTTACTTTCAACCAAACAACTTTTTGTGATGTAAACCCATATTTTGTAATAGCTCAGTTTAATCATGTCCTTTGGCCAGCCTAGCTATCGCCCTCACCTCGACACAGTCCTCTCTCAGGGTCTCCTCCAGCCCCCAGATGGCAGCGTAGCCCCTTGATGTGATCGCAAGGTTCGGTGGCGCTGCAGTCCTCATTGAACTGCTTGGCGCAGACTTTACAGCAGTCACAGTGGTCAGTCACCCAGCTGACGCCTGGTGGGCACAGCAGGGGCGAGGGGGTGCAGGAGCACTCGGCCGGGCACTCAACCTTTGACTGAGAAAGAAGGTCAGAGGTCAGGATGTGTGACAGTGGTCGGATGTGTAAATGATAAAAGGAATAAAATGGAAGTTCATCCAATATTAGCTATAATGACTAACCAACATGAAATCAATAGTTTAAAAGCAATATGCCACAAGTCACTGAACTCACCATCACTGCTGCACTACCGAGCACAAACAGGGTGGAAACGATCTGCTGCAAAGTAACAGGGCTAAGCATCCTGACTACAGCAGGCAAACCAAAAGACACTGGTAAAAACCTTCAAAAGGAATACAGGAAGTAAGAAGGAAGAAGTTATCCAGATCAACTGTCCCAAGAGGGGAAAAGTCTTGTCTTTCAACTCCAGTTTAAAAACGTATCCACAGTTGAGAGTCTGTGCACCAAGAGGTACACCCGTCTGCTCTTGCCTGATCTCCTATACAGTATCTAAGTGTCAGCACAGCTCAGCACAGCTCAGCTCCGCTTCATAGAGAGGTTTCCCTGTGCGGGGCCTGTACTTATAGACACACATGCCCCCGCCCTCCCTGTGATATCATCAGCTCTCCTCTGAAGACGGCTGGAGAGTGTCCAGAGGGAGGAGGTGGCGGGCTTGCTGGTGTGAAATAGTGGCAGAGACGTGTTCAAATAACTGCGTAACTGTGAACATGTGACCTCAGGGAGAAAGGTGTCAAAATATACACAAGAGACAAATAATTAATATTAGCTGGTCCATGCAGGTAACCAAATATTGATTCAAATCTATTGTATTTCCTGACTTTAAGGGTAACCCTGACCCTCCCACACATGCATACCAAGGGGTATTAGACAGGTTAGGTCATATTTGACAGATGTCTGCAAGAAAAAAGAAAACAATGGTAGGACTAGGTGTAATGGAAAACCTGAGTAGGGAATCCCAGTCCATCGTGGTAGAGTATTTAACAGGGGAAGTGGTGATGTGGAGAAAATCCCTGTGAACAAGTCTTCCACCAGCTCTGGCCAAGCAGCCGGGCTCTGTGCTTTCTCCACACTGCAGTGTGCTGTGGGACACAGTGCTCAGGACATCCTGTGTTCCCTCCATCTCTTTCCTAATGGGCCGCATTCCAGGAAATACAGGCCTATCCTCAGGTTCCCATGATTGGTAGGAAAAACTCTGCATTCCCATTGTCATCCCAGGGGCACGTAAAAAGTGTTTTGTTGGAGAGCAGGAAGGTCCTCACATTAAGCGTTGGCTCATGAAACATGGGAAATGTAATTTGCCACATTTGATAAGCTGCTGAAGGTCTCCCCTTGTTCCCTAAAAACATGGTGTACACAGTCTGCTGAGAGAAAGTACTAAGACTGTGGACGCAACTAATGTAATACATCTGTGTGTCAAAACCAATTTAACAAGATATATATCATAATTATATAAGATTATGGATATGATGCATTAATTAAGCATGGCATAATTACAGAGGAACTGAGCAGCACTGTGTCTGTGGGACCTTTGACCAGAACGGAGTGCAGAGTAACATTTTATAGCAGTGATTCCCACCCTGAGGGTTAAAAACACTTAGAAGGGCAACAGATGATTAAAGGGATGTTTTGGAGCTTTTAAACATATCAAATGATCTTCCTCAGCAGATAGCGTTCCCAGTTGTCATGGAAAAATAGATGCTTCCCCAATTTTCTACACACTTTAGGGACTTCTTGTCCATGTTGTTGTCTTAGTAGCTGTTCTGGAGATTGAATGCTTTTAACCAATGTAGACAAAAAGTCCTTAAAGTGTTAAAAATAACACTTTGTGGTGAGATTGTTTTGTGCTTTATAAGTCAAGAATTTTCAGTGAGTGTCTTATTTTTAACTTTTCCTTTGTAATGTTGACTGAAGAAATATGCAGATGTGGAACCTATACAGCTGTGAGAATTATTTTTGAGGCCATTTTACTGTCACTATTTTTCATGAATGGAGCCATCATCAATGAGGCTAAAATTAGACCTATTTCAGAGGTCTGAGACCCGGCTGGTCATAGCCAGTCATAAGCAGACATGCTGGAAAGCAGTGTTTCACTGTCTCTCTGGTTGAAAGTTTCAAGTCACCCATGCTGGGTGAGGTCTGAAGTGTGTTGTGTTGCACCTGTAACCACTTCTGATAGTGATTGGTAGTCATATTCTGTCTGTCTGTCTGTCTCTCTCTCTGTGTCTCTCTCTGTCTCTCTCTCTCACCCTAGTTGGTCTAGGTGGGTGGGACGACCACCCAGGGGTCGAGGGGTCTGTCCTAGGTTTCTGCCTTTTAACAGGCAGTTTTTCCTTGCCCTTGTCGCCAAGGTCTTGCTCATGGTGGTACTGTTGGGTCTCTGTAAATAATGTTATAAGGAGTTCGGTCTAGACCTGCTCTATTTGAAAAGTGTCCTGAAATAACTTCTGTTATGAATTGGCGCTATACAAATAAAACTGAATTGAAAAATTGAATATTCCTTGCCAGCTGATGAATGTAACATTCACTCCCTTTTAGCTCCGTTTTTGTCTCCTTGAGGGAAATATGCTCCACTGTGGTCACCAGCTAGTCTCTTACTTTGTCATCTGCAAGTGCTATGCAGGTAGTGTACAGAAGGTTAACAAACAGCTGTTTAAAAAGGTTGAAACTGCTGCCCGCTCACATCACATTTCACATTATACATTGTTAATAGTTTTGTGGATTTGTGGAAGGAATTGTAATGCCATAATGTTTCAGAAGCCTTTCCACACTTTGTGGCATTAAAGACATTTAAAGATGAAAAAGACTGACCTCAGCGCCCCACAGCCCACCCTGAAAACCTCATCAAACTTAAGGAAGTTGCTGGGAGCAAACCTGTGGCCTCTAGGCTGAAAGTTGGTCCCCACCAGACACAGCTCACTTCCAGAGAGCAAGTGTCGTAGCTCCAGACTGGAACGGTGATGTTGCTCTGCGCCGAGAGAGCACAACATCAAACCTCACGCAGCCACCCAGACACCCGGCCGGCTGGGCTGTAAAACCACAGGGATGCTGGAGTCGGGGGGAGATGGGGTGAGCGCACCTTGTTGGGCAGCAGCAGTCTGGATTCTTGGCATTCCTGGCCCACAAAGGCAGGATGTGTGTACTGGCCACGCTGCGTTGGACACTGATGGAGGGTCTGGAGGAGGGGGGGAGACGAGGGGGGGTAGAGGGGTTGCCAGTTTGGCAGCCTCCTGCCTGGCCGTGTGCCAACCATTGTTTGTCAGCCAGGCAAACATTTCCAAAACACATGGAGGTCAGAAGTTGTCGGCGATTCATCACGCTGTTGTTTATTTTCTCAGCTCGATATCTGACACCAACCGCAAGCCTGAGGAGTCAGTCCCATAAAGCAGTTTTAACATTCTTACAAAACTTCCTTCAAGGGTTCTGTGAGAACACTTGTCTCAAATATTTCAAATTTTCTTCATTTTGTAGCCATAGGCGTGACGAGACTCGGTGTGAGGCTTCCTTGAAATGTGGTAACGAAAAGGCCAAATCCTGCTGAACCGCTCAGAATCACACTTTCATGGCAGTCCAAAGGATAAACAGGAAGTGTGTACAGCATGCAGGAAGAGGTGCTGTAACGCCTGAGTCAACCACAGAGAACTAAGAAGACACAACAGGAACCCAGACAGGACCAACAGCCGTGAATGGATTAGACAGAGTTTATATTGGACTCAAATAAGAGCTCATGAAAGGCAAAGTATGAGTTTGTACAAATTAAAAGAAGCTCATGGAGGGCTTTGTGGTTTATATAAGAAACATTCCTCACAGTGTCCATATTGTGTGTCCTTAGCTTTTGGCCAACATTAACAAATAACCAGAGATTTTAGCCCGATTGGGCCTTAACATATTCGCCACCTCAAACGAAAACGAGACTTTTGTTGTTGGTTGGGAATTGATCATTTCAGTGAGGTTGTGTGTAAGATAAGAAAAATGAATGACTTGTTGTCATTGATATCTTTTGAAGATAGTATTATGTCCAAATTTTGACTCCCTGTCCTGTAATGCTGCCATTTCCATTTGAACACAAGAAATATGAAATCGGAGCTGGAAGTTTCATGCTTCCCAGAGGATGAACCCTTTCCATTTTGGAATTTTATTTATGTTGCTATTTTCCTGCTGCTGCTAGTTCACATTAAAAGTGATCTTGGAACCCAGTCACTATCATCTGATGATGATTCAGCCTCTGGGGGCAACGGGCAATGTTTTTAACACTTCCAGTGAAGCCAACCCAGATACAAAGACTTCCTCTGCAGTCCGATTAGCAACTTGATATTTTTATATTTAAAAAGTACTTGATATTTTGTGATTCTTATGCACCAGTGCACCAAGGCAAATCCCTTGTATGTGTAAAAACTTACTTGGCAATAAACCTGATTCTGATTCTAATAACTTCCACCTTTTATTGCTCTCTACAAAGACAGTTTACCTGCACGCAACAGAAACTCACTTAAACATGACTCATCAATACTACAGTCATTTTCAGCACTTTTTGTCAGTGGGTCAGTTTTAATTTAAGTCAAGAACAGCCGCAGTGAGCTGTTACATGAAGAGCTGCAGGTGCACACCTCCAACTCAGCCAACTCCTTTCACTGTGTGGGTCCTGCTGTTGCATGGAAAACTACTCGTGGTAGTATGCAGCATGAAATCATATCACACTGGATCATGGCAAGATGAAAAAAGGCCAGTTGTTGACCAACTTCTTTATTAAAACAACATGAGGTTGTTTGGCTGCACTGTGAACAGACCTCAACATTTTTTACCTGCCTAGCTGTAGTGTTGAACCTCAGGTCACCAAATCAACCAGGACTGAAATTTTAAAGATTTTAACTTTGTATGATGAATATATGTAACAAGATTTTTATTGCAGCCAGTTAAAGGTACAGTAGTAACATTTGGAAGGATCTATTGGCATTTTTAGGGCTTTTCGCACTTTTTGTCTCCTCCATCCATCATCTATCATCACGTACCCCTTACAGGGTCACAGGGGTTTGAAGCGGATCCCAGCTGACACTGGGCAGGAGGCCAGGTACACCCTGAACAGATTGCCAGTTCATCACAGGATTGACAAGTGTAGACAAATAACCATTCACACCTACAGACAATTGTTTTTATTTCGTTATCTAATTGGGTCTTCTCTTCAACCAATATTGCATGTTCGGTAGACGTAAACACTTTTTTCTATAGTATTCCTTTTAGACATGCCTGTCTCAAAATGCCTAGCATCAGGTCTCAGTTACAAGCAGTTCAATTAAGTCGAACACATTTATATCTTCAGTTTTGGTAACTAAAATGAAAAATGCTAGTGCTGCCCACTAATTTGCAATAGGCCTGAAGTGAGGATGCCATGCAAGGTGCCAACTGCTCATCAGGAGCAATAGGGCTGTACTAGCTTCTCTGCACTGGACACACTATAAAGCTCTTCATGGTCAGGCCCCTTCATATCTTAAAGAGCTCATAGTACCCTATTACCCCTCTAGAACACTACGTTCTCTGAATGCTGGGCTACTTGTGGTTCCTATAGTCTCTAAAAGTAGAACAGGAGCCAGAGCCTTCAGTTACCAAGCTCCTCTCCTGTGGAACCAGCTTCCAGTTGTGGTTCGGGAGTCAGACACCCTCTCCACATTCAAGAGTAGGCTTAAGACATTCCTCTTTGATAAAGCTTATAGTTAGGGCTGGATCAGGTGAGTCCTGAACCATCCCTTAGTTATGCTGCTATAGGCCTAGACTATCGGGGGATTTCCCATGGTGCACTGAGCTCCTCTCTTCCTCTCTCTCTCTTTCTGCACTCATTCATGTTCCATTAACATGTTACTAACTTCGCTTCTTCCCCGGAGTTCTTGTGCTTTCTCGTCTCGCAGGTTCTCATGGATCCTGGTGGAGCCTCCTGCCATGGTCCTGCTTGACTGCCATTGCTAATATCACTGATATTATTGTTGTTATTATTATTAATTAGTATTAGTACAGTTACTATTATTACTATTGTCACTGCTCATTGTCCCCCACCGTTGTTGTCGTCGTCGTCATCATCATCTTCTTCATGTTCATCATCATCAGTCACTACTATTAGTGTAGTTGTTGCTACTGTTGTTGCTGTGCAACTTTGTCTGTCTCTGTCCTTCTGTCGCTACCTCTGTCTCTCTCTCTCTCTTTCACCCCAACTGATCAAGACAGACAACCACCCACCTAGAGCCGAAGGATCTGTCCTAGGTTCCTGCCTCTTTAAAGGAAGTATTTCCTTGCTGCTGTCGCCAAGGTCTTGCTCATGGTGGTACTGTTGGGTCTCTGTAAATAATGTTATAAGGAGTTAAGTCTATACCTGCTCTATTTGAAGTGTCCTGAGATAACTTCTGTTATGAATTGGCGCTATACAAATAAAATTTAATTTAATTTAATTTAATATAATTTAATTTAATTTGGCTGGACTTGGTGAGCTGGGAATTGAACTAGCAACCCTCCAATTACAAGACAACCCTCTCCCACAGCTGCCACTTTAAATCTAGTGGCAATCTGTTAATTATGGAAATATTGAAGTGATAAAACATGCCGTCCTGTTCCTCTAGCACCATCATATGGAAAAACTAGACATTTTTATTGCCACTACTGGTAGGAAAACAAAATGATCACTATGTTGTCTGTCACATCCAAACTTCAAGGCCTCTAGTGGATTTAGATTCTTACTCTTGTTATTATTAACATTATGGATGTACAACCACACTGCAATAGTCTCTTTTGGGTGCTTAATTTCACTTCTAACCTGGTTGTCTGTCTACAGTAGATGCAAGAAGAAACAAAGAACACCTCAACACATTTTGGACAACTGTGGGCAACCAACACGTTACATAAATGTACATATATGTTCAGTGTGGAATCAGCTGTGCGAGAGTGTGTGTATATATATGTGTGTGAAAGATGCACCCCAGGCCCAGTCGTGACCCCGCCTCCACAGGTTACGTCTCCGCCACATTCCTCATGCTAGTGTCCTTAAAAAGCTCCTAGTACACTGCAGTCATCACTCATCCCACTGTTAGCCTGAATGGGCTCCATTTACCCCTCCATACACATACTGTCTGCACTGTATACACTCGTACTGGGTAGCCAGAGCTGATCACCAGCTGAGTATTAGATTTCGTAGATGAGTGTGAGCAGATTATGTCATGAGCTGTGGTGCATTTGGATGCCCATGACTGACAGTGGGTATCTGCACATCAGCCTTCTGATGGAGATATAAAGCTTTCCTTCATGTTGGTCGTTTTCAACATTCATCGCTTTCCTACACAATGGTGTTCATTTTTGTACTTCACAAAAAGAAATACTGAATAAATCACAATACGATATATCCTATATATGAGGCAAGCTACATGGCATGCTGTTTAGGCTCCGTTGTAGGGCTGGATTTTATAGCTATTAGCGGAGTTAAAAATGTCAATGGGATTTTAAATGAAGTTTGCTTATTTATGAAACAGAACCCACCAAACCACAAGCACTTGGTAAACGTTTTTCCCAAAAAGACAACCACATTTTGAAGATGGTTAAAAGTGAACATTTTGTCCTCAAAGTTGATGTGTTAGATGCAGGAAAAATGGGCAGTGTGAGGGTTTGAGCGACTTTGAGAACACCAAACTGTGAAGGCTAGACAACCAGGGTGCCCCGGTGGTCAGAATGTTACAGCTGATCGGTGTATATGTTGCTTTTATTTTTTAACCTTCTTCAAAATGTGGCTGTTTTTTCGACATAGACGAGCCTAGCACATACAGAAACATATCTAAGTACAGGAAAAGAAGTTGACCAAGGTTACGGCCGAGGCTTGCTGAACTGTTATTGGAGCACAATGCAAAAAGGGGCGGGAATTGATCATAATGTAATCACTTTTATTCATACATCCCAAAATCAAAAATCACAAATTTGGCTCAAGGGGCTTTACAATCTGTATAGCCATGTACAACACTCAGTATGAGTGTATTATTGTAGCAATATTATAGAAATGGTCAGTCAATCACAATGTTGTTAGGTTTAAAATGCTGTTTTCCGTAATGGACATTATATCTAGAGGATGTAGAGGTCAGAATGATTTACAAGTTAAACATGTGAGTAACATGGCTAGTTACTAAGACAAAAACTACACTACAAATACAAAAGCACACATTTGGAGGAATTTGGTCACTTCCTTTATCAAGGCTTTGGTTGGATGGCTTTTCATTAGCAGGATGAGGCTGTTCCACAAACTCGTATACCCTGGGGATGAATAAAAGTTAATGAAAAGGTAGGCTAGTCCTACATGTGGTGACTGCAGGTGTGGCTGTCCTGCAGCCACATACAAAAGGGAGTCGTGATTTGAGCTGGCAGCTGCCCGAGCAGCAGGGCAGAGGGAAGCTGCGGCCTGCACATTCCTCCACAGCATCTAATAGAAGTGATGAAAGCAGAGAGCGCAGAGCAGCAATAACTGGCCACAGTGCGAGCAATACTAGCAATAACTTGGCCATTGTGTGTCTGGCATGAGCAGGTGTGCTGCAGGTACTGATGGACACATCCCTTCCACAGAGAGGCCGAGGTATGCAACACGTGGATTTAAAGGCGCCCTGTGGAGTTTTCTTGAAAACAAACAAAACTGTTTATATTCACTGTTGCATGCATTTCCTTCCTCATGAAATATTTGCAAAGCTGATTAAATCCAAGATTGTTTGATAAGGCTGTCAGATATATCAATATGAAAAACAAACAGATGTAGAATTTTTAACCCCAGGCTGGACAAACGCAATCTATCTTATTTTTTTTCTCTTTGCCGTGGTAGTGAAGGTGGTATTGACCCTTCCTAAGTCCCGCCCCTTTTTGCTCTGTGTTCCAATAACAGTTGAGCAAGCCTCGGTCACAACCTTGGTCAACTTTCTCCTTTCCTGTACTTAGATATGCTATGTGCTAGGCTAATCTATAAAGGAAACAAAATTTTGACAGTTAAAAGATGAAAGGGACATAAAGTCACATCTTAAGTTATCTAGCTAACATTAGTAACCTACATCCATCATTAGCTGGCTAGTTCCACCTAAAAGCTAATGTTAGCTAAACGCTAGCTAACTAGCTAATTTACGTCAATAATTAGTTAGCTACTTAGTTAAAGTTTAGCTAACATTAGCTAACTGAACTGAACTAAAAAGTATCTTTTAACCATCTTAAAAATGTGGTTGTCTTTCCAACATATAGCCCAGCACAAGGTTCTGATCAAGGCTTGCTCAACTGGTGTAACAATCGGCGGGATATCTGTGGTGTAATACAGTGCCTGTAGGAATATTAAGAATTGTAGATTATATCTAAATTCTAATACAGCATACCTCAATGTTTTTTTAGGTGGGCCTTTTCTATGTGATAAATATGTTTCCTTCAGTTTTCTTGCATCCCCGTCCACAGCAGTGCACCGCTAGCTGCTTCCCTTCTGGGATTCGTATCTGCTTCTCCAAACTGAGGGCACCTCGTCTACTGGACTATGGATAAGAACCTCACACAATCCCGCTTCAAAACACCCAAACTATCCCTTTAACTAAATAGACCACAATTGGAATGGAAACCATGTGATGGGGTGGGCAGAAATAGTAATAGTATTTCTAGATGAGAAAGATAGTTAGTTAGGGTGAGCAGATTTTAGATTTCTAAATTTTGGCAAGGACATTTCAATCCTTGTTACAGACAGCAGAAAACAATGTATACAATGAGTCTACTTTAAAAAACTGACACCTAAAGGCATAAAAAGAAGGTACACTGAGTTTTGCAAATAAAAAGGTGAGCAAAAAGTGGAGTCACTTTCCATAACATCCCAGATCAAAAATGTAGATAAGAAAGCCAAAAAAGGAGAACGTTTAAGCAGTGTCAGGAGATCCTGAAGTAAGTTAGCATGAAAACACAATTGAAGAAAGGAAGCAGGATTTAGCTAAAATGACAGAGGCCAGAGCCATCAACACAGATGCTGCCTTTCCCTCCAGTGAATCTGACGTTTCTTAAACTGCACACAGCATATTTAGTACAGTAGAATAAACAAACTGGTATTTCAAAGGGACTTTAGTGTGGGAGCTGGTGGTGTAGCCAACTGACAGAGAGTGTCCTGTTAGTGGGCAGGGGAAAGGTGGCACCACTACACAGCGCTGCCTGTGATTCAGAGGGGAAAATGTTATCACAGTAAAGCCGTAAACAGAAAACGTTCCAGGGCTCCCCTACGGGAACTGGGACACAAACACATAAAGCTCACTGTGCCTGAGGCTGCTGGAAAACCAATATACAGTAAATGGACATTAAGTCACATTTAATCAAGAAATGGCAGTACAGAATGTATTGTGTGTGTGAGTTAGAAACAGGCCTGGCGACGCTCAGCCTTGGTGTAGTTCGGGCAAAATTTGTTTCCTTTAGCAAACTAGCGAGATCATTTGTTTGCTTAGCAGCTAGCAGCATGCACTAATACCTAATGACAAATATTCAGTGTTATTGGCGTCTAAAATTAGGCCAGAGTGTTTGCGCTGATATTCAACTGGATTGAGGTCATTTATTCAAAGGGCTCTTTGAAATGTCTTCAGGGTTTGGGTTGTTAAATGTCTTAGAGACTCTTGAATCATCATGGAGCGACCTGGACAGACAATATGCAATGATGATGTTCAAATCTACAGCATCAAAAGGCCACTTACAGAGTCCATTCACATTATTCCAGAAGAAACACATTTATAAAGAAAGGCAAGTTAAAATCTCATCAAGTAAATTACTAAAGTCATAGCATTTACAAGTACTGAATCACAGGCAACTGGACTGTTTTTGGTCTTGAAGGTGTTTCCTCTCACCAGACTTCATCAGTTCTTATGACAAGTCCCAGGCATTTGAACCTGTGTGGCTCCTTCACAACTTGATATCACATTAATTGTTTAGATAATGAGTCATTAAAGCAACCTTATTACCAAACAGGCCAATTGACCAAATGCCCAAATTACATTCAATGACCTTTTTTCTCCCCAGCAATTTCTGCAAATGGGAACTATGCTATGGTAAATGCAGTTCAATGTAGGCTGCGGGTTGTGACCAAGGGTGTGACCAAACATACACAGACTCCCAAGTGCCTTCACTCTCCGCTTCCCTACAGTCCAACTCTAGCCAACGTTAGCTTATAAATGGAGTCTGCTAACATCTACAAAATGACCAACACCCACCACAACACCAAGTCAGAGTCCAAAGTCGAAGCTAATATACTCCAAAGGCGGTGAAACGTATTGTGATATTGTGTTTGTTGTGGCTAATGTTAACTAGGCTAATGCTAACACTGACAAATTGCTAGCAAGCTAACATAGCAAAATACTCTCAGCTAGCTTCATTCAGACTCCTAGTTCTGATGTGGCTGGTTTGCCTACCTTAACCTTAACTTTCTTGCTAACAAAATACTGTTTGAGTGGATATGTTAGTTGGCTAATGTTAGCATGCAAAATGACTTCACCAGCTAACGTGATCCATGATGCTATGTATTGTGACAATCAGTGTTGAATATTTGCCAACAATAGATCATGTAATGGTACAAAGCTAACAATTGCTTTCTACTAGCCAAGAGTGATGCAAGGCAGGGGCATCTGACTAGCTAACTGTAGCAAAGCTAAGCTGGCGTTGTCCAGCTGTCTTGGCTGCACGGTGTGGGTCTGGCATTGGTTGCTTCGTGGTGTCGGCTGATGGGCTGATTTGTAAACGGTAAGCTAGTTAGTACTATTGAGTCAATGGTCCAAATAAAATATAGGAACATTGCATAGTAACATTATTCTAAATATGACTGTAATTTATTTTCCAGCGTCCAGTCTGGTCTATGTCACTTTTGGCCGATGCTCAGGATGACGCTCACTCTCACCCACTGTGGAATTACAACAGAATGATGACTACAGTTCAAATAATGGCCACCGGCGTCTTTTACATTTATTGTATTTGGTAAATATTATTATATTATATATGGTGTATACATATTGAATGTTGTCCTGTCTGTTCTGCACTATGTGAGCTCACCAAGTCAAGCTCCTAACAATGCTTGCTGCAATGTTAAAGTTAGCTCAATGCAACACACCTCAACTCAAAAAGTTTCAGTGCTTCCCGGGAAGCTGTCAACTGAGGAGAGCCTCTAAAAAAACGATGTATGTAATCATCACAAGACAGTAAAGCTCAACATAACACCAACATTTTCAGTTTAGCAGCTCTTCAAGGCAGAATGACTACCGAACCTTCAATGATTGGGGAACTACGGCATATATGAATTCAATCAACAAGTTATCACATAACTGGATCATTATCTGGCAAAGGACTGACGAGCCAAGCAAAGCTCAAACAACCAAAGAGGCCGGTGGTTTGACAGTGACATCATCCTACCCACCACAGCAACAGACACATCATCAACAACACACGCTCATTTGTTGTGCTGCCAGACTGCCAGTCTCAGTATGAAAACCTCGTAACTCCGTTCACAACCCTGTTCATTCAGTCTCCTCCAGTTTTAGAGCCTTATTTTTTCCCATTAAGAGGTAAATTGTCTTGAATTGACCTTCTGAAATGCATTTAAGCATTTATGCTTATGAAACCTGCTTACGTTGAGAAATATCAGCCTAGTCTTTCTCTCTGTAGTTAAAACACATGCTGATAAATATAAGGTTATGCTGTAAAGAATGGGCACCGTCACAACCTGACTGGCTGAGGGGAATCACCAAGCTGCTCTCAGTCATTGTTGAGGAGTCAGTCCCCACACTCTGTGCAACAGGTGATCTGAATGATCCTCCAATCAACCCAGAGGAACGTGGACACTGACTACAAATGAATGGGGGAAAAAGAAAACGAAATAGCAGCAAACACAAAAGAATGAGGGACTGCTACAAAGGGACAATACGTAGTGTGTTCAGCTCACATTCTGCCAGAGATATTGGTGTTTTGTCCATACTGACTTGCAGCTTTATTTTTATGTTTATTGTTTTATTTTGAAACTATTTTATTCTCTTCCCAGTTTCCACAGCCTCTGCTCTGACCCTAGAATGACCCTATTTCCCCACAGAGCTCACTGACCTATTCTAACTAACACTGTGCCAATCCTCCAATGTTATATACATCTGAAATAACTGAAAATAAGTGCCCTCTGGATTAAAATTATATTATAACAATTAGTAATTATTTAGAATAATATTCCAAAAGGTTTATACTCACACTGACTCTACAGTGACACCTACTGCACTACACAAACACAAACAACGTTATACAACAGAGCTTGCTTCATTTAAACAAATTACACATTTTTTTAATGACAACTCACTTTAAGTCACTTTAATATTTAATAAGGCACTTTTATGGACTTGCTCACAGTCTCCTCTTCATCGTCAACCTTGTTCAATAGCAGAGGTGAGAATGGATGGTGGGGGCAGTGGTTTAAAAGTTGTCTGCTGAAGTTCAGGCTCTGCATCATGCCAAACATCTCAGCTGTTTCTACAAATAAGGGGGAAAGAATAAATCCCAGGAAAGTGTAGTATTTTAAAATAAATGATCATGTCAGAGAGTGCTCTCTGTACAGTAAGTGAACAGTGATTTGATTTAGGTATATGCACTGCAAAAGCCATTCATTTCTGGACTGATCAGGTTTAGGTTTTAATAAGCTCATAGATGTATAGACGGAGATTTGCACTCACCTGGTTATTTTCAATTGATACCTTGGAGCTTTGCTGGGAGTTTGGGGGAGGCAAGGTCCCATCACCATGCAGGTTTGCACCACTTTTGGGCTTTGCATTTATGGTCTGGGAAATACATGTAATTGTGTCTTGTTACTTTTGGCTGTTTGTTTGCCTGTGGGACTGATTTGGACAGAGTGGCTCAACAGCGAAAGAAGCCACAAATATTGATTACAATGTGTGACTTTGCACTGGGGTATAGACACTTACATGTTGTCCAGGGTTTTGTCGAAAGCAGGTTGAAAACCAAAATTTGAAGTTATCACTCCTAGGAGGGCCGTCCATGGGTGTAGATGCCAAGAACCGACAACAGTTCTGCCATATCCCATTTATAAAGTGCAAATTTGTGCATTTAGGAGGACCTGTGAACACAGATATGAAGGATAAAATGTATTACATACAAGTGCAAACTGTATCTACAAACTTTTTAACATTAAATGGAAAAGAACTGGTGTAGTTGCTTGCTAATAACCTGTTGAAATCTGATCAGTGTTGCACTGTTCATACATGACCACTAGTGAACAACTGGCTATTAAGCCTGAAAACCAGGACTGTAGCCAGGATTTTAGAAATACGGAGGTCATGATTCTAGCAATAATTACTTAATAATGTCAGTGCTAATGTAGCTTACCACCCAGTGTATAATTCATTTTTTTCTTGGTTTGGGGTAGCCGGGCAAGGACAGACATCATTTATTTTAAATTTGGTGATTGCTAGACACAGAGCTATTCAGCTAACGTTTTAAGAAATATTTAAAAAATGTAAAACAGAAAAGGGCATGTCCTCAGTGTCCTCAATGGTAGCTATGGGCCTGCTGAAAACTTTCAAATCTGAACTAAATAAAGAAAATAATAACATTTTTCAACACTGGGAAAAAATGTATTTCTTCTTGGGTTTCTTTTTCTTTGCTTTGTGTTTTTTGTATGCATATGTACCCTAGACAAAATGAATGAGGTTTTGTGTATGTATGTCAGTAAGGCCTTATTTTCCTCTCTCCCTTTTGTTTGCTCGTTTGTTTCAGGCCACTGAGTCCTGCGTTGTTATTAAACTATTTGTTCCACGTCAGTTTGGTATTGTACATAATACAATAATACAAATTCTTTACCAAAACAAAATCAAGACTGAAAAATGCAACTTTTAAGACCTGTCAAAGTCATATTCAATAGCCACATTTAATAAAATATCTTCTTTCCAAGGGCCTTTACAATTCACAGGTTGGAGATGTTCCCCATTACTCACATTACACTGAGCCTGAGGATGGCTTTGTGACACTCAGCTTTAGAGTTTGGCCAGATACCCTTGAACGATGAGCATAAATCCAAAGCCAGCTTACCCAGAGTAATATAACTTTCTAGGGTATAGAAGTTGATAAAAGTTGACAAAGCATTTGCCATTTTTAAACACATGATGCCAGATGATGATGGATGGATCTGGAAGTGTGACTATAGAGACACCATCAGGTCATCCTGGCATGGCAAGTATATTTAAAATGTTCTGTGTTATAAGGTGTGTCTGAACCCTAAGGACACAGCAGTCCACACCCAGCACATGTTATATCATACTCCTGTCAGCATCTGTGGGACAGATGTGGATATGGTGTCGGCATATAAGTACTTGGGTGTCACACTGGACAACAAACTGGACTGGTCCAATAACTCAGAGGCCATCTACAAGAAGGGGATGAGCCGGCTTTACTTCCTGAGGAGGCTCAGGTCCTTCAATGTCTGCAACAAGATGTTGCAGATGTTCTATCAGTCTGTTGTGGCGAGCAGCATCTTCTTTGCTGTGGTGTCCTGGGGTGCGGGCATCAAGGCAAAGGACGCCAACAAACTGAACAAACTCATTAAGAAGGCCGAGTCTGTTGTTGGCTCTAAGCTTGTCACCCTGGAGGAGATGGTGGAGGAGAGGATGCTGGCAAAACTGCTGGCAATCATGGACAATCCCCCTCACCCCCTCCACACAACACTGGACAAGATAAAGAGCAGCTTCAGCAACAGACTCATTCAACCACGTTGCTCTAAGGAACGATACAGGAGATTGTTCCTCCCCACTGCAATAAGACTTTCTAATAATAATTGACTCTTAATCAGCTGCTATAACATTATAATTTCTCTTCGGGGATAAATAAAGTATTTCTATCTATTTATCTATCTCACAGATGGAAGAGGAGGTTTGCTGTTGATGTTGGGGTTAGGGTTGAGGAATGGGGTATAGACTCTCTGATGCCACAGTCCTTGATGTGCAGTTACCTGTGGTTGAAGAGCCCTTTGACTGGCACTCTGAGCTTGGTATGGGGGCCGGGTGGAGGCTGCACGGTATATAGTCTGCCTTATGTTTGGAAGATGAAGGCCCCCCACACTGGACAGTGTGCCTCCTCCACAGCAACGTCTGTCGCTTTAGGCTCTGCCAATCAATCCCGTCCATTCCAGTCTGGGTTCACAGCATAGAGAAAAAAATTCTGTTTGATTGTACAGTTCAATCTGAATCATTATTATTCAAAAAATGATCAAATGTAAAATAATTTTGTGCACATCCTTGGCATTAATGTAGCATGAAATCATGAATTGTATTATTCAACTGTTTATGAGCAACTAAGAATGAATTCATTCCAGCCTTCCTGCACTGAGGCCTGAGTAATCAGGGTACGTGACAAAGTACATGACCAACACCCAGCCTCTACATGAGATTTGTTGAAAACACCAAATAAACCCAGTAGAAAAGTGTTGTGTTTGTGATGGCTATCGCAGTTGGCATCTTCCCCTCTCACTTTGCAGTTCCTCTTATGCACTGGCAGGGGGTGTTATTGATGGAAGAAAACATGCACATGTACTGTCTGTAGACTAGTGTAATCGTGACCAGCTGAGTGAGTGACAATGTTCAGATGTCAGCGCTTTCAATTACTGACTTTGGCCAGAGAGACACTGAGGCCAGAGAGTGATACTGAAGTGATGCTAACGAAGGCTAGCACTGAAAATTAAAACTACAGATACACCAAGATACAAATATCTTTTTCCTCCTTTAGAAATATTATATATCAAAAATCTAATAGATTTCCAAGGCATTTTTCAACTTAATCCATTTACAAACACTGTCCCAATAATCCCCTGAATGAAATTGGAAAAAACTTAGACAAATCTTAGTGCACACTATCTGACAGTATCACATGTACAGTACATGCATGTATAGCACCTTACGAGGCGCAACACAAACAGTGAAGGGCAGAAAGTTTGATTGCACATTTTATCGTCTTGAATAACTAGTATAACTTATGAATACATTTGTAGAGTACTCATGCAGTAGACCTTTTTAATTTTCACATTAAAATAGTAGGGTAATCACAGTTATTACCAATAATATAAATTAACACCACAGTTCCAGAGAAACCGACACATATTGTTGTCAAGAGATCCTCAAGATACACTAATTCACATTTTTAAAACTAAATGTCATTGGGAATTAGTGTATCTTGAGGATCAGTTGGATCATGCCACTGAATGTTTTACTCAACTCTAAACAGAAGTAATGGAGCATCATGTTCCAGTGAGAAAAGGACTGTTAAAGCCCGTCCAGCCCCTTGGATAGATCAGGGCTCCAGACTAACTTTTTGCATTGGTTGCACTGGTGCGCCTAACTTTTTTTTTTTTTTAAGTGCACCAGCACAAAATGTAGGTGCACCCAAATCTTTCATTGCGTTGCCTTTAACGGCGTAAGGTCACCTTTTTATCGCTCTCCATAACTTTCATATAATGTGAATGATTTTTAAACAAGAATAAGGTGTAGAGAAATGCTCGTCTTTACTTGAAGCACAATTATATATAAAAAGAAAAATAAAGTGTTTAAAGTGCTTCACTGAGCTGAAATTGAACATTTCAAACTCAAACATTTCAAGTAAAATAATTATTAATGATAATAATAATGATTACTACTACCTGCCGCTGAAATGCAGCTGGGAGAGGGGCCACTTTCTCTACACACACTTGTCACGGCATATCGTGTGTTTTTAGACATGTTATGTTTTCGATACGAAACGTTGTTGACCTGCTCACAAATGCACTATTTCCGGCCATATTCTGACTGCACTGCTGACAGTACACGCAGTGCATTGCGTTATATCCTTTGTTGTACCTCAGCCAGGGAAATAGTTTCAGCCAGTCCTGTCTGAAGGAATATATTTTGACCTTTTTAATTTGGGTCTCGGAGCCGGGCTCTATCCCAGACTCTGTTATCTCCTCCTCTGGTTCCGAGTCTGATGCTGTCGCTGAAGGACCGGGGCTTGGTATCTCATCAGGGACCGAGGGCTCCGTGTCTTGACAGGATGGACTCTCAGTAGTGGGGATGGATGGGATTATAGTAGTAGGCTTGGTTTTCTTAATGAAAAAACTTTCAATATTTCTGCCTCTCTTCACTTTCCCTCATTTTGTCGCGTTTATTTTATTTTTCCGTTTCAGTTAGTCAGCTATTCTGGCGCTCAGGTCGCGCGCAATTTTTAACACACACAACTTTGTGCGGTGAACAGGACCACAGCCAATCAGAGGCAAAGACCCGCCCGAGCTCTGTCTCCTATTGGTTTAGAACACGATATGATCCTACCATGAGTGTGTGAGTTCGGTCACAGGAGAACAGGAGAGATGATGCGCTTGCGAAATAAATTGTGTTATGTTTTCACCCGGGCAGCGTCAGGTGCACCAGTGCGACCTAGAAAAATTATTAGTCGCACTCTTAAAAATTTTGGTCACACTCTGGAGCCCTGTAGATGTTGGGTTAAGCAGACTTTTATGTAAAGAAAAAAGTGGTTCGAATTCCAATGTTTTGTTTGTGTTTGTATCTATTAAAGTGATGTTTTTATGTGTTAGGACTCTTGGAAGAGGAGCCAAGTTGGGCTAAAAGAGATCCTAATAAAAAAATCAACAATCAAATTATGGCCCCATTCAATTTAGTGAAGCAGAGCATTTTCAGTGAGCTAATGTGTACAACAGCAGCACTCTGACTCTGTTAGACATAAATGGAATGGAACCTGAATTAGTATGATTTTAATAGTAAATAACATTTTACAATGTGTTATCTATGTCTAACCTTCGGGTCCAGTTTATATTTGGAGGTATGGGGCTCCTGTTGGGTGTGCCTCATCTGCATCCTCTCCATGACAGGCTCAAAGATCATCAGATTGTTCCTGAGGGGGAGGGTCTGAGCTGAACTGGGCGGCTGCAGGTCCCCTTTGGCCTCAGGGGCAGCAGCCAGAGTTTGTCCCACAGGAACAAGACGGTGGACCTGAGGAGGGGCAGAGGCCTTCTTCACCTGGCGGTCACTGACTGATCCTGGCCAGGACAAACCAGGATCTGACTCCGACTTCAGTGAGCCCTTCCCTTCCTGGTTCAGCTGAGATTTCAAAGGAATTTGCTTCAGAAGAACCCTCTTCCTTGGCTTGTCCTGTTTGAGATTTTTCTAACCACACAACACATTATATGGTTCAACTTAACTGCGGAATTCACTTCGAAAGTTACACATTTTCTGCTTTTAAGGTAACTGGTTTTTCACCTTGTTTTCGACAGATGTGTACACTTCAGCAGAGGGGAGGAAAACCAGTTCCTTGACAGCCAGTCTAGGAGACTTAACACTGCAGTAAAAAACACAACAAATGGGTACAGCAGGCCAGTGAGTGGATGAAATAATAATGGCTTTAATAATAATAAAAAAAGAGATAGCATAAAGATACAATCTAAAAGAAGATAAAGTGCAAAAACCAGAGAATAGACTATGATTCTGTTTATCATGTTATGCTGTCTTACTGTATGTTGTTCATTGTGTTTATACCATGACATGTGAACATGTGTATGACATGTTAAGTTGCATTACACCTGTTATTTAACACCATGCCATGCGTTTCTTTCATTATGTTTTGTGATATTATGTCGTTACTATACTTCATGTCATGTAATGTTATGTTGTGTGTCATATCATACTGTCATATCTAAGTCTAGGCTCACAGAGGGACTGAGAATCACCTGTGCTGGTAGTCATGAAGTGGAACATAGCAAGACCCAGGAACCCAGATCACTGTGGGCTTTGGGGAGTGGGATGTACTGGTGCAACTGGGCAAGCGTCTGATGTTGACAGTCCTTAGCTGTAAAAGCAATAAAAACAAAAATGTTGCCAGAAATGTGTAATGGTGTGTTTTTCATTTTAAAGCCCCCTCCAGTCAGAAATCAGTGTTTCTTCTACAGTGTGCTGTTTGAATGATGTCTGTGCACAGTTTGACTCTAGAAGGATGTTTTTACATTCATCTGCTGAAAGAGGTCCAGTATCAACTTGTACAGTGTGATGTAGAAACTTGACGTCACCAGTGCACATCCACTGAGAATGGACTTTACAGTGAAGGAGGAGACATCTTTGCATATTCAGAGATTCTGGAAGTTTAAATGAACTAGAAGGAGGAGATGACTTTTTAAGGATTTTAGAAATTAGACTTTTTTTGTGCAATCAGACACACATTTTTGTTCCAAGCAGACTATTTGTATATTGTACATATATATGTCTTAATACACGTCTTTAACTACAAATCCTATTTTCTCTGTTTGGAAAACTGCCACAGATGAGTGACAAATGAAAGGAAGAAAACAACAACATGAAGTGTCTTAATAAAGTGTTGTTCCACCATGAGCCTCCAAAGCTGCTTCAGTGCTCCTTGTCATAGACTCTCAAACTGTGTAGAACTCTTTAGCATTTTTCCGAAAGACTTTCTCTCATTTAGTGTTTAATGACGGTGATGGAGAGTGCTGTCTAACATGTCGCTCCAAAATCTCCAACAGAAGTTCAGCTGGGTTGAGATCTAGTGACTGTGAGGGCCATAGCATATGATTCCTATCCTATTCATACTTATCAAACCATTTAGTGAGCACTGTCTTTTATGGGAGCATTCCTTAATTTGTCCTTTAATTTGTCACAGTTTGTATCGAAATATTATACATTTTCACACATGTGACAGTGACTATACATATGTGTTGGAGTTCTGTCTCTCCAGTTTGTTCTGTATTATTACGCAACCCTCAGTGACACACAGAACCAACCTTGACTGTCTTTTTCTCTCTGTGTGTCTCCAGATGAGGAGGCGTGGCTGAGCTGGAATTGGAAATCTGGACATTTTCTCTGAAGGGAAAGAGATAATTTGCTTCATTCATTTATGTATGCACACATAATCAAGTTCAAATATAGAAGATTTAAAAAAGCAACGTACTGTCTTCTTACTCCTTTAGGTAAAGCCACCCGGCTGATGAGAGTGCTGGCAGCGGCTTCTGAGAACTCATATTCACGTTTAAGAGGTAAGACCTCAAAGGGTGACCCATCATCAGGCCACTCTGATGCATCAACCAGAGTGATGGCTGGAAACCTATTCTCTGATTACAACGAAAGACTACTATTACAATTAGTAATACTGAATTGATTGATTGATGCCTGGCAATTAAAATTAGGCTAAAAGTGAGCCAGGTGCGCCCACCTTCAGAGGCTGTTACTGAGGCCCTGCTAGGGGTAAGGGCCTTCACCTGTCGAGGTTTGCCTTTACAGATGCGCTGCTCGGCCTCCCAGCAGCAGGTGTGTGTGCACAGAGGCCAGAGACAGTGAGCTTCATCCAGAGCGGGAGAGGAAGGGCTGCCCATGCCTCAGCTGACAAAGGGAGGCCACAGCAGCGCTGGACGTTCAGCCATGAAAGGTTAAAAGGAAAAATATTATAAAGCTATTCAACTGTTAAATAAATGTACATGAACAACAGTGCTATATGCAGGACGACTGGAAGTAAGCTTTTCTACATTTGCCAAGATTTTACATTGCTGGGCCTGCGCATTATCAGGGAAACTGCATCTAATTCAGCAGCCAACTTATATTTCACTGTCTTTAGAATATATTTGTCTTCCTACTCAGTGAGCAGTAATAGACCTTTTTCACAGCAGCCATTTTGACATGAAATAGCAGGGTAAACACAGGTGTTACCAATGATACTAATTAAGATTCTGTTCCATTTAGTGTAACAGAGCCTTTGCAGCGAGCCAACATGCACAATAGCAGCACTCTGACTCTGTTTGGGACAGAACCAGAACCATTTATACCTTAACTGGTTTTTTTTTTTTAAAGTAGTCGTCCAGCAAATGAAAAACGCCCTGTTATCAACAGTGATATATAAGACAGCTTTTGCATGTTTAGCTCATCCAAAGATGGGTCAGTAGTATTTGCACATTGTCATTTAACTCCTGCTGTTTGCCTTTAGGGAGTAAGCATTTAGAAATTAACATTAGCCACAGAAGAGGTGTAGATCATAACTTGGCTTAAAGACTTGGTATCCTATTATTTCCTCTGCTAACTCTAGTTCTTCTTTGGTTTGCATACTGCGTTCCTGTGTGTTTAACGATGTGAGACTGGGTGACATGTCGTACTTTCAGTTGTATGTATCTTGTGTATTGTCAATCCAATGATCAATTTTACAAATACTGTTTAATACTGGCCTACAGACTATAGGGTGACACAACGACATCATTTTGCACTATTCCTTATTCCTTCCTCCATACATATACTATAACACTATGTCATGCCTTTGCCACCCTAGGAAAAGAAATCAGCTTGCAGAACACTACTGAATGATGATTTAGAAGTGGGTATACCCAATGCTGGCTAAAATAATACCTAAGAGGATATTATACTCATATACTTGCGTGCTATACCACTGGTAACACCTGTGTTTATCCTACTATTTCACGTCAAAATGGCAGCTGTGAAAAAGGTCTGTCTAATAGGTGCCATCTGCTATGCTGGACAAGAGAAAGTTTGGTAGCCATGTCACATAATAACTAGTTAATGTTTAAGCAGCATTTACAGGATGAACTACTGGTGCAGGAGGTCTATTTAAAGCCTAAAGTCATAACACCTCAGCTGATATAATAACAGTCAACGTCTACATACAACACTGCTAACGTGAGCTAATGAGCTAATGTTAACCTAAATAACATCGATGTGTATTCGCCTGTAAAGCTAGCTTAGCTTATAGCTAACCTGAAACGTTCCACATAAGTTAGACACAATAACGTCAGCATTATCTACTCTCAAAGAAAATACACAAGTTTTAGAAAAAAGTTTGCATGTATAATTTTTTTTTTTTTTACTTAAATTTCGCTTTGGTATCATGTAAACTAAATCCAGAAACTAATATAAAACATTTACGGTTTACCTTTAACGGCACAGTCAAATGTTTTACCTCGGGCGGTCTGCTTTCTTTAATCTGGTCCACTTCACGGTTGGCGCTTTCGTCGCTGGGCAACAGTGCCGCTTTACTATGGTCTCCAGCACCCCCTGCTGGTCCCTGGCAGTCATCCCCCCACATGACCAACATATGCACTTTGATCATCAGAAGGCTGGCATCAAATTCACTGAATTCATAAATGAGATATATATATATATATATATATATATATATATATATTTTTTTTTTTTTTTTTTTTTTTTTTTTTTTTTTTTTAAAAAAAAAAACATAAGTCTTTGACTTTTTTCATTTCCTGGAAGCCTTCTTGTCTAAGATGGTAGATACATTGCTAGAGAGAGAAGTGGGGAGTGCTTAGAACGGGACGGATTACAGATATGTTTGATCCCATTATGTCATATCATATCCACAGTTGAATTTTATCATATCCTTTACAGTACTTGAAGTACTAGCTGAGTTTATTAGCAAATTAACACATGTTTTTCTTAATATATATCAAATGTCAATATCAAATGCTTGGTATGATTGGATTTAGAAAAACTTAATTTTCAAAAATTCGATAAAATCAGGTGTTTAATCAACTTCAAAATATACCATATGCCACTGCATCTGTAATATTTGATCACAGGACCCATTCTTCTATTTGGGATCCTATGGGAAAATGATCTTACACATTGTGTGTAGATGAGTGACTTGGGGCTTGTTTTACAGCGTTCTTAGTAGCTGTATATCCCTGCATCATAACAACCATATTTTAAATCTCGACTTTACAATTCAGTCATTTTCGCGTTGGTTTTCAAAGGTAAATTCAGTTTGTTCCTGAAGTATCCAATATGAAATTCTAAAAATACAAAAAATGATGAACTATTGCAGACACAACTGATTGGACACACAAAACCACACACCTTCATGTCATTTATTTTCTAGAATGAATTTCAGGTTAGCAAAATTGTGTAAAAGATCTATTCTCAAAGCAGCAAGCTAATAATTAAAAACCATAATGGTACACTCTGAAACCACCAACAACAGGTTACTGCTGATTCAACAAACTACTCTGCTACAGTGCCATGTAAAATTTGGGATTAAACTGCATCACCAACAGATACTCACAGATCACATAATTAATGTATTTGTTTGGATTCTTCTGTGAATTATAGGCTTGTTATTTCAACCAGAATCAGAGCCTGGAATCGTGGCTTTGTTCTCCAGGACGCTGAGGCAGCAGCTGTCAGTCAGCAAGACAACACAGATGTGAAGAGAGCCAGGCTGTCTGACTCCGTCCAATCAAGTTCACCAGCAGAGGCTTTCTGTCGTCATCTTGACGGCTCCACCAGACAGAGACAGCTGGTAAAGCACCTTGTGCCTGCTTTCAGTGTTGAAAATCATGACGAAGACTTTTATCATTCTGGTTCCATCTCAGTTCAGCCAGTCCAGATCATCATCGTCCTCATCGTCCCCAAACAGAGGGGCAGGGGGGGGGTGCCCCTTCAAGCTCTGGATACAAACGAGAGAAATTAAAACATGAATTCTGTCCATCAAAGCTTTGATGCATTTAACTAATACAGAATGTAATCTCTTTAAAGCAGTATAATGTAGCCATAAAACATCACTGACTGACTAACATTAAGACAAAACAACACAAGGGAAGGGCTGGGGGGGTTGGGGGCTGACGAAGAGTGCTGAATCAGACGGATCTCTACAAATCCTTCCTCACCATCTCATCCTCCTCTTCTTCGCTGGGAGCTGCGGGGGGTTTGGCAGGGGTTGTGATCTGGAAAAATGGCTCCTCTCCATTTTCCTCACCCATTCCCCCAGTCAGACTGAGAGAATAGCAGAGAGGGTGGGGTGGTGTACAAAAAGACAGTGACAAAGAAAGAGAAAAGGAAAATAGGGGTGAAGCAAGCAAGAAACAACAGTTGAGAAAGGCAGTTAGTTTGCAGAAATACATGCACACATTAGTAGAGATGGGGGGCACAAATACGTTACAACTGTGGTCAAGTTAAATGAAATTTGGTCAATAAAATGTTCAAAGTTATATTGGCTTTCATCTTCATTTGAATGGGTTTCTGCAGGTTTCAACAGGTTCAGTTTAAGACTTTTTAAGACCTTTATGAATGCCATTTAAGACCTATTTTACACCCATACTGGCCAAAAGATTACAAAGGATATAAAGGAAAATTGAAACTGGTTCCATGTCTGTTTCGTTTTGTAGCTGTTACAGCATGATGAATATAACATTTTCCCTAAAACACAATAAAAAGCGAGAGTGAAAAATGCAACTTTATACAAGTAACGGTAACTTCATCATATTTAAGACATTTTAAGGGCTAAAATTCATATTATTGGATTTTAGACTTTTTTAAGTGGACTATGATCAAATAACAATAGGTACAAACAGCATATCATTATTTTAATTATTAGAGCACAAATAAAATATTTTCCCTTCATTCCCACCAGGGTTATAGGTTGGACATTTTTTTTTAATTTGGCAATGACTGTTGGTACCGCAGTTGCAAGCAAAGCATTTTCAAAACGTTGCAGCACATTCAAGGATGCTTAAGAATTGATTGCCAATCTTTTCAAAAAAAAATGTACCTGCCAGTGTCTGGGAGGCGACATTAGTTTTGTCACCCGTCAAACCTTTTACACAGCTGATTGTAGGCAATTGTAGGAGGATTGAAGGTTCATGTAGTCTTCTGAACTTCTCTGAAAACTTGCATTTTAATTGTCTTCAAAAAGTCAGTCCAGGTCAAAAGAAATACACGTGTGTGTGTGTGTGTGTGTGTGTGTGTGTGTGTGTGTGTGTGTGTGTGTGTGTGTGTGTGTGTGTGTGTGTGTGTGTGTGTGTGTGTGTGTGTGTGTGTGTGTACACACAAATAGTCTGCTTGGAACAGTAATGTGTGTCTGATATGTCTTTTTCCACCAATAAAAGTCTAATTTCCACATTAAAATCCTTAAAAAATCATCTCCTCCTTCTACCTCATTATAACTTCCAGAATCTCTGAATATGCAAATGTTTTTGATTTCTAAAGTTTTCCTGCTGGACACAAGATGTCTCCTACTTCACTGTAAAGTCCATTCTCAGTGGATGTGCACTGGTGGCTTCAAGTTTCTACATCACACTGTACAAGTTGCATACTGGACCAGCACTGACTTGTTTTCTATGCCCTGTTTAAGATGTTGTAAGTTGGAATGAAACACTGCCAATGATAGAAACAGGATTAAAAAGATTAATAGTAAGTCTGGTTCTAGAATTGGTTTGACTGATGATTTCATTAGAGAAGATTTGGGAAAAAATAGTTCAAATGTATTTTCCAGACAACCATTTGGTTTACCAATAATTACCTAATATAGTAAGCATTCAGGACAGGACTCACCTTGTGTCCTCTCCTGAGCTGTTCTGAAGTGCATTCGGGGGTGGAGGTGGGTTGGCTGGGGGTCCAAAGGCTTTCTGAGAAGCGGCATTCATTTCTCCTAGTCGCTCTCCATCATCCACGCTCTCCTTATCCACGCCACCGCTCACTGCAGCACTACTTTCTGACACGGGTTCCTGTGCATCCTCAGGTGGTGAGCTCTCATCAGGTTTATTATCTGGATCTGCAGACTTCTTGGTGTCTTCTTCCTCTGTAGAGGATTCAGGAACAGAGTGTTCTGCCTGCTTCAACTGTACTTCAGCCTCTGTAGAGGATTCAGGAACAGAGTGTTCTGCCTGCTTCGACTGTACTTCAGCCTCTGTAGAGGATTCAGGAACAGAGTGTTCTGCCTGCTTCGACTGTACTTCAGCCTCTGTAGAGGATTCAGGAACAGAGTGTTCTGCCTGCTTCGACTGTACTTCAGCCTCTGTAGAGGATTCAGGAACAGAGTGTTCTGCCTGCTTTGACTGTACTTCAGCCTCTGCTACTTCGGTCTCCAGCGGTTTCGATTCAGTGGATGAAACTGGATGAAGATCAGTGGCCGCCAATCCCTCTGCCTGGCTTTGTGTCTTTAACTCCTTCTCTGCTGCTTCTTCCTGATCCATCTGAGTCTCACCAACTTGGTGAGAAGCCAATTCAGCAACATGTTGTTCTTCCTCTTTGACTTCTCTCTCTCCATTCACATGTACATTCTGATGAGGTGTCTCCTCTCTCTCATCTCTTTGTTTCACATCATCACTTTCTTCTTCCTCCTTTTCCTCTGCTTTCTCTTCATTCTTACCCGATTTCAGTGAAGACCCGTCTGTGCCACTGAGCAGCTGCAGGGTTACATTCTGGAAACAAAAAAATCCATAAGGTCAACAAAAAATATGCTTGCCACTTCTGTTTTGTTGGGCAAAATCAAATATCGTCATCTTCATAGGTAAACATTATTTAAAGCTGACAACACTGGGTTTACAACTGCATAACGTGATATATACCACTAATTATATGTGAATTAACCCTTCCTAAGTCCCGCCCCTTTTAGCTCTGTGCTCCAATAACAGCTGAGCAAGCCTTGGTAAGAACCTTGGTCAACTGATATCAAGACAAGAAAGCTCCTCACCATGCACGGAGGGTTTCACCCCAAATCCAGCACCCTGAGACTGTACGCTAAGCGGAAAGAGGGAGGTCGAGGACTAGTGAGCATCAAGGCCACTATCCAGGATGAAACATCAAAAAGCCAAGAGTACGTCAGAAAAATGGCCACAAAGGATGAACTGCTAGGTGAATGTCTCAGGCAACAGAAACCCGATAAGAGTGCGGAGGAAGAGGAGCAGACAACCTGGAGGGACAAGCCCCTACATGGCATGTACCACCGCCAAATTGAAGAAGTAGCTGATATCAAGAAGACCTACCAATGGCTGGAAAAGGCTGGACTCAGAGACAGCACAGAGGCACTGATCATGGCAGCACAAGAAAAAGGCCCTAGAGGCCAAGAGGCCAGAGGCCAAGATCTACAAGATCCATAGAGGCCAAGATCTACAAGAGTAGATCTGACCCAAGGTGCAGACTATGCAAAGATGCCCCTGAGACAGTCCAGCACATCGTAGCAGGGTGTAAGATGCTAGCCGGTTCAGCGTACATGGAGAGACACAACCAAGTGGCTGGAATAGTGTACAGGAACATCTGTACCCAGTATGGAATAGAAGTACCAAAATCCCAATGGGCTGCACCACAGAAGGTGGCTGAGGACAACAGGGCCAAGGTGCTGTTGGACTTCAGCTTCCAGACTGACAAACAGGTCCTGGCCAACCAACCGGACATAGTGGTGGTAGACAAAGAGCAGAAGAAAGCGGTGGTGATAGATGTGGCCATACCAGCAGACGCCAACATCAGAAAGAAGGAACACGAAAAGGTTGAAAAGTACCAAGGGTTGAAAGAACAGCTGGAGCAGATGCGGAAGGTCAAAGCGAGCGTGATCCCCGTGGTGGTAGGGGCACTCAGGGCAATGACCCCCAAATTGGGGGAGTGGCTCCAACAGATCCCAGGACCAACATCAGAAGCCTCAGTCCAGAAGAGCGCAGTCCTAGGAACAGCTAAGATACTGCACAGAACACTCAAACTCCCAGGCCCCGAGCTTGAGGATGACACAGATACCACCCCAAGAGGGTGAGAGGGAAGTTTTTTTTTATATATATATATATATATATATATATATATATATATATATATATATATATATATATATATATATATATATATATATATATATATATATATATATATATATAACAAACTATGATGCACAGTGTTTTCTGACCCCTTTCTATCAGAACCAGCATTAACTGTTTCAGCAGTTTGAGCTACAGTAGCTCGTCTGTTGGATCAGACCACACGGGCCAGCCTTCACTCCCCACGTGCATCAATGAGCCTTGGCCCCCCATGACCCTGTCTCTGGTTCTTTTCTCTTGGAGCACTTTTGATAGGTACTGACCTCTGCAGACCGGGAACACCCCACAAGAGCTGCAGGTTTGGAGATGCTCTGACCCAGTCGTCTAGCCATCACAATGTGGCCCTTGGTCAGTCGCTCAAATCCTCACACTACCCATACATTATGTTATGGCTGATCGGTGTAATCATATGCATATGCTAGCTAACTAGGAAGTTTACATCAGTCTTTAGCTAGCTAGTTAATCTGAAAACGCTAGCTCACAATCTAGCTTATTTATGTCAATCATTAGTTTGCTAGTTAGCAAACATTTTTAAAATGTCACCTTTATCTTTTAAACCTCTTTAAAATGTGTTTGTCTTTTCAATAAATATGAGCCTATCACATAGCATATCTGAGTACAGGAAAGGAGAAAGTTTGCTCAACTGTTATTTGAGCAGAGCAAAAAGGGGCGGGGCTTAGAAAGGCTGAATTGAACACCTTTTTCCATCCATATATTTCTATTATTTTGTCCATTTGCTAAACATGCCATTAATCTGATGTATTTTATTCCCTGACCCTTCTACTGCCACAGAAAGGCTGCTTTGGCATTTCTTGGCAAAAGTACTCACCTTAATGGTAGTGACAATCACCCCCAGCACAGCCTGGCCACTGTAAGATTCACTCAGGTCAAACTCCCCTCGCAGAGAATGAAACACTCCGTTCATCACGCGTTTCACCTGCAAGTAGACACAGCTGGTCTCACTTTCACTGCTTGTGCATTGGTCTTCAACTTTTTGGCAACAAAACATGAACAAATAAATGAATACCCTTCCAATAGAAAGCTCATGACATAAATAATCTTAAAACTCTCTAACTGAAAAAAAAGATTTGTTGTTAAAATGCATGAATTTATATAATATGTTGCTTTTGTTTACAAGGCTGTCAAAATTACAAAGAATCATTTTCATCGATTTATAGATCTTTTTGTTACAAAATGGTGCTTAATAACAATAGGAAAACCTATTCTAATGAAGTCCAAGAAAAGAACTTAAATAAATCCTACATTTATGAAGGTTCATCATATTAATTACGTTATTTTACTGGAAATATCAACATCATATTCTGATTGTGTTTCAACTGTGTCAGATACACAGAAAACAAATAAACAACCCCTTTTTCGTTTCTTTGTTTTGAAAATAAAATATCAAAATTACCCATTTTGTTTCCCATATTTATAAATGGTAGTTGATAGTAGATTTTGGTTCTCATTTCAAAATGAAAATCAGTTGGCCACAAAATACACTGACCCTACACTGACATCTTGAGGAGGAAATGTGTTACCACTGATCATTTTTGATATTCACTTTCACAGTGACAAAGTTACACTCTTCTCATGAAAGATGTGTGTGTGTGTGTGTGTGTGTGTGTGTGTGTGTGTGTGTGTGTGTGTGTGTGTGTCAGACATGTGTGACTCCTCACCTCTGCTGCAGTGTCTCCTGAACTCTCCTGCTCTACCAGTTTCTTCTCCAGTTCAGCCACTCTTCTTTCCAGTCCCTCCTTTACAGCTACTCCTTGCTGCTCTAAGGCTGTGTACTGAGAGAGAATAACATACAGTGACACTGTGTGTGTGTGTGAGAACATAAAAGGAAGCAAACAATTTAACTGCAGAATGAAAAGCAGTTGTGTATGTAAACGTGATGTCCTACAAAATTCCTTTAGTGACATGATGCCTGACAAATACATTCCCCGCCAATGATGATTGTTTAATCTAATTTGAAGCACATGCTGATAGACAACTAGTCATCCATCGTACTTTTTCCTGAAGGGCCTGCTCCATCTGCCCATGGTGTTGTAGCAAACTCTGTTCTTCTGAATCCCTTGACTGCTTCATAACTGTGAACTGTTGAGAGTGAGAGAGGCAAAAAATAAGGCAACACACACAACCACACTTTGAGAACTGAACATATCTAATGCGTTTTCTACAGCTTGTGGTTTCATTTTGTAAACAATAACAGTAGATAACTGCTAATTAGCTAAAACAGCTGGGTAGTTAGCCGTTTTAGCTTTTTTAGTAATAGTTACTACATGAAACTGCTCACAACAAGGTCAGTGGATTATTTGAGGTGAGGTCAGGATTTTTAGAAAGAGACATTGCTATCAAGTTTTTCAAATGTATTGTTTTTCCCCTTTGAGCCTCACAAGCAGAGTGCCATCTGGTTGCATTATACTGGAGAGAAGGCAGACATCTCTACAGTCAATATCTCCAAAACTCTGCAACTCACACCAAAACAATGTAGATGGATGAACAGCACTACAGTTAAGAGGAGGTATTTTTGATTTGGGAGTGAACTGTCATTTTAAAGTGACCATAATGTGTAATAGTTTCTCTAAGTCAACAACTAATAAGACAAACTTTCCAATAAAACTAGCTTGTCTACCTTTTCCTGTAGCTGGGTTAGCTTGCCCTGCAGAGCATCTCTTTGCTCTGTTAGTTCAGCCAGCTCTCTACTGTGTTGCTCTTTAGCACAGGCCAACATCTGCTCACACTTCCCCTTCCACTCCTCCTCCAGCTCCGCCTGCAGCTGAGACAACTGCAACACATACAAGGTATATGCCATTAGTGCTCATATGTACAGTAATGTAGCCACTTGAGAAAAACCCTGAATCCATAAAATATCTCTAATTAACTGATCCAGAAGATATTTAAGGGAGTTCAGAGAGTGGACTGATGAAACCATCACATTATAAATTATTCCTTCAGTATATTGTTTGCAGAACAGCCCTTTCATTGGATGTTCAGAAACCTGTTCAGATGCAGCGTTGTCAGTGCTGGTCCTGGCTTTGCGAAGTTGAGCTCGCAGGTTGTCCAGCTCCTGCTGGCTGCTCTTGCGGAGCTCCTCCACCTCCTCATCCTGACGCTGACGCTCAGCCTGCCACTTCTTCTTCCTTTCTGAAAGTGTCTTAAAGGGAAGGAGAACCAACTGTTTGTCAGAGTTTGCATGACAACTGCTTCACATTTAATAATCTCTTGCTTGAATTCTTTCTTAATCTGAACACTTCTTTAACATATTACGCTTGTTTCCACTTCTGTGTACTGTGATATTACGTGCATACGCATTGTCCTGTTTCACTGACAGAAGGACAAAAACATGAACTACACAGTACTTACTCGTTCTAGACTCTCTTTATCAGTCTTCAGGTCCTGCAGTTCCTCCTCCATGTTGTTGACTTTCAGCTCCATTTCTTTGCGTCTTTGTTTCTCTGAGCGGTACTGAGCCTGGGCCCTCTCTGCTGCCTCCTTCAGCTCTGAAACACAAACACAAAATATTTCTTAAAGTTAACATGGGCTGGGCTAACATGTCCTGAGATTTCTTGCAAATATTTTGTCCCCTCCACTTATATCAATGACATATTAATATTAGAATGTGACACAATCTAAAGCCTCCAAATGATTCTATATTTTAACAGTTTCAACACAAACTGAACATTATAACCTTCATGAAGGCAGTTAAACTAAATACAACTGCAACAGTTTAACTAGGTGTACCTAATAATCTGGCAACAGAGCTATTTGAAATGAAATTCTTCACAAAATGTTCAATTTTGTTCAACACACACCTTCCAGCTGTGTATCCAGGGCTGTGATGCGTTGGCTGTGGCTCTCACTGTCCTGCAGTGCTGAGCTCAGTTTAGTCTGAAGCTCTGTGACCTTCTGCTGTTGAGCCGAAGCTTCTAGCTGCAGCTGAGAGAGCCGGGCTGTGGACGTAGCCAGATCCTCCGTCAGACGGACCTGATGGAGACGCAGGGCGGACATAGGGAGGGTGAGAGGAGGGGATGCACCAGTGGCTGTCTATAGTAAAGTCAAACCCAGGCCACACAGAGACAGTGGATTAACAGTGACAGCCTGGATGAGTGCCTACTGGTGCTAGTGGTGTGAGCAGCGTGACCCTGTGGGAGAAAAATGGTGAGTGATAACTGATGGGAAAAGGAGATGGAAGGGAAAAAGAAGAAAGTTAGTTAAAAATGTTAATGAAGTATGATATAAACAGGATGGATCCAGTGGCAGTGGTCAGATGTGGGTCAAACAGTAGTTCCACATGATTCCTCAAACTTTTTGCCGCATTTTTGGAAGTCGGAATCAGATCAGCTGACTAGTTCCAAGAACTGCATCATAAAGGTTGTCTAAACTTACTACTCTCCTGTAACTTGATCATTTACTGTCTCATGGAGTTGATCTGTTGTGCTCCCACTAAATGAATATCACTGCAAAGTTATTTAAGCCATAAACAGCAGGTTTTTCTTCCTGAATTTTAATTTCTAGCCTAATTAACTGAGCTTGTCTTTACTTTGTTTACTGCAGTTGCTGATTAAAAAAAAAGACATTTTTGGAGCACTTCAACAATTTCACTTTGTACATTATTTTCTTATGTTGCAAATACTATTTGACCCCAGTCTGGTAGCAGTACACAGAGAAAACAGGCTCACCTGGCCGGAGCCCAGGTCCTGAGGCAGTGCATGCTGAGAATAGAGAGAGTGGTAAATGCTAGATTTTCCTCAGAGCAGCACAGCAGTGCAAATCAGCAGGCAGAGAGCAGTCGGCAAAGAGTGAGCACTTATCATTAGCATCAGGTTTGTAACAGGAAACAGACAGTAAAGGGTTAAATAAATATCAACCCAATCTCCACTGACAGTGTAATAATAAGTTATCATTCAAAATGTACCACCTCTCTAATACAGAACAAAGTGTCAGTGTTCAATCATCCCTGTGCTGTGAAAAAATGGTGTTATAGTGAATAGATGTAGTTTCCTTTACAAGAGAAAACAGATTATTAAAATGGTAAGAAGAGACAGCTGCATACTTCACTCTGAAGCCCAGCTGAAACTACTGGGGCAGTGATTGTGTTGGGGGTAGCTTGGGCTGGCGCAGCAATCAGCAGTTGGAAAATGTTAACATATCGCCCAACTGTAGTAAGTAACAAACATTTTTAGTAAAGAGCCCTTAATTCTGGTTGTTAAAGACCCAGATATGTCCTGGACATTATACAGTTATAAAATAAACATGTCAATGCTCTCTGGTGAACAAACTATGCGATGTAGACACTGCATTACTATTTACAGTAACTGTAACATATCTTTGACATTTATTGTCTTACCATCCTACATATGCATAAATATGGATAAACCTGTAATAAACTAAAATTGGCCTTAAAGTAGTTGTAGCAGGTAACTTTTATAAAAATAACTTTTTGTAATATTTGCTGCAACCTTCACTATATGCTGTCAGCAGTACATGAGACAGATCATCTGTGAATATTGGTTTCTCTCAGGTTTCTCTAGCTCCTCCTAGTGCTCCTGATGGCCTGAACAAAGACAACCAATCAGAGCCGAGAAAGATAGTTGATTTTTTATTCCCAGGTCTTTTGACTATTTTCTTCTGAATTGCATTGCAATTGAGTAATATCATGCTTGCAACAGTGTGAATGCACAATCAACATACAGTCCCAGCTGTCCCCCTCAAATCCTGACCTTGTCCTGCTCAGCCTGCAGTAGTCTGGCCTGGTTCTGCTCACTGGATGACTTGAGGGAGTCGTTCCTCTTTTCCAGCAGCAGGTTACTCTGCTCCATGTACCTAGACAACCACAGCATGACAGCATTACATCCACCTCAAGCACATCTCAATTGAAAACCTCCCTGATTCTTTATCTAAGCTACATGTGCAGTGGTGGGTTGTCACTGGAGGAGATACTGACAGCTGAAATATTCTCAGTCTTTTCATTTTGTAATATATCCCCTAGTATATAGTATGGTCACACGATCAACTTCAAGTACATAAAGACACAGTTACATTGCTCACACTGCAGCAGGATATGACTGCAAAGATTTGTGTAATGACATTTGTAACTGTTTAAAAGAAAAACACATACTGCAGATAAAATGCAAAAACAAAACATTTTAGAATTTGATCACTTATCTTAGCCTTACAACCAATTCAACAAAACCAAATAACATCATAAGTCACACAATAGTGGGTTTAAACCTTAAGAGCTCCATATTATAATGAGAGAGAGATCATGTGAATGTCTACGGTAATGTAGGATATGATGTTCTGGCCTTCTGTCAGCCATAATCCTAAATCCTGCCCCATTTGGAACCATAGGCAAATTTTTCTAGATCTCAGGATATATATACAGTGATCAGCTATAACACTATGACCACTTGGGTGAATATTTGACATTTTCTGACTCACCTCTGGTTCTGGTTGATGAGCTCCCCAATCTTATGGTTTTGCTCCTCAATGCGGGAGCTTTTCTCAAAGACTTCCTTTTTTAAACATTCATTTTCCTTAAAACAAAAAGATTGAAGTTTTCAGAACACACACAATACATGGGTCAATATTTGCATTACAAAAAGAGTTGAGGAAAAAAAACAGAGGCACCATACTACTTAGATGTGTACCTGGACAATTCTTTGGATGTTGTGCATTATCATGGAGGTTTCCATCGACATACTAGACACACCCATGGAAAGACTTCCCTGCCTTTGAAGGTCATCTATCTGTTAAAGTAAAAGAAGAACTACATGTATCTCCTTACTGTTAAAGCCATTTAATGAACATATTCTTGCACATTGAGTTTATACCTTTGAGGCCAGCTGATCCACTTTATCTGCTACTTTTCCAACAGATAACCGGATCTCTGTGTTGTGTTGTCGGGCCTCAGTCATCAAGAAGGAAGTCACATCACTGGAGCCTGGACCACAATCACAACAATCACTGGGTGTGTGATTTGTAACAGTTCAAAAATCAAATACAAAACTGTCTTGTAGCTAAGTAGTATTATTAACTACAGAGGCTGCTGCTGCTGCAGAACTACATCATGAAATGGTAAAATACAGTCTCAAGTCACTCTGTACAACTCCAGATAATAATGGTTTGACAATAATAGTTTCCTTGATATGGAATAAAAATGCTCTCACCCATGTATGGGACAGTTTGTGCGGGGTAGACCTGGCCAACAGGCTGCAGCTGAGATGGAGCTGCAGAGGTCTGTGTGTAGGAGTAAGGCTATGAAACAACATAATGCAATGATATGAAGAGATATCACCAGATGTGTCTATTATGTACTTACTGCTGATAAGTTAGTACAAAATGTGGTGAAATCTCACCTGAAAGGCGTGGCTGCTGCCTGGCAGCCCAGGCTGTGGGGCAACACTGGTCATAACAGGAACTAAGGCAGACGGTGGAGCGGTGTGAGGATGAGGATGTACTGCAGGAAATACAATAGAATTTAACCTTCCTTTGATTTGTGCTCCAATAACAGTTGAGCAAGCCTCGGTTAACTTCCTCCTTTCTTGTACTTAGATATGCTATGTGCAAGGCTCGTTTATGTCAAAAGACAGTTACAAATTCAAAGCATCATACATATAGCTAGAAAAACACAAGCTAGACTGATGTAAATTAGCTTGGTAGTTAGCTAAAAAGGGGCGGTACTTAGGAAGGGTCAATTGTAAAACATACTGTACACTATCATAAGAAATGTTCTTTGTAATCTTGTGCTGCAGTTAATAATGCGTGCATGAACAGGCGGAAGAAGCTTACCGTGTGCAGAAGCTGGAGCAGCAGTGGATATCTGCACAGGAGATGGAGCTGCTGGCCGATCCTTCACTCTGCTGCCGCTGGTGTCCTGGAGATAAACACATAGTGGCAGAAACTCAATAATGACATCAGATGTGACAGAGGGCACTCCAGCAATTTTGTATTGCATTTCCATTACATTGGAGAATTTGCAAGAGTGAGACTCAAAAAAGAATTGTTAAAGAAAACAGTGCAGCAGAGGCTGAGAGGACTTTAAGCTGCTTAAGTTTGGGTCAAACTCCAAAAACACTGGATCCTACAGTTCCCATAATGCTACTTTTTCTTTTCTTTCCTTAGACCCTCCCTGTCTGGTAAACTTCCACATCTTTCCAAATCATAACACCAAGGTTGTAACCCAAGCATCCTGTTATGTGTCAAAGGACGCTTGTGCTAAGGTCTGCAAGCCCAAGCACAGATTGCTTAACTGAGCTAATGGAGCTCTTCGGCACAGCAGAAGAAGATATATCAGGCTTCGATATACACACAATACTTGCTAACAGATAGCTTCATTGTTTGTTTTTGTTGACAATAGGAAAAATATGGACCTATTCTTCAACATCTAAAGAAAAACTTCCTTCCCAGGGTTCTGCCAACCCACCTCAAGCTCAGAGTCACTGGATTCGGGCTGGCTGGCCACTCCTGTCAGAAAGGGCAACATAGGCTGGCCCATCTTTGCCATGCGAGAGATCAGCTTGGCTTTTGTGGCGTCTGGATTCTGAAGGTAGAAAGAGAAAGCTCCCATCAATAAAGCTGCAAAATAACTGAATACTATTAGTATCAAAGAAATAAGAAAGAAAGCAGCGAGGGTGCTTACTGCCAGTTGCTCACTGAGCGAGTTTGACTTTGCACGAAGTGGTGGCTCCCTGGAAAAACAAAGAAGACATCAGAGACAAATGAGTCTAAGTAACAAAAGATTAAAGGATAATGCTGTTAACAATTTCCTGGGGTTTAAATCTCACCCTGCTATGCCTGGACCTGAGGCAGTTGTCTGTACTGGGGGCTCTGGGGCCAGATTTTCCACACTGGGTGCTGGGGAAGGAGCAGGGGAGGGAGCAGCAGAGTCTCTGGAGCTAGCACTGGCCCGATCAGACCCACTGTCCTTGGAAAACTTCACCTAAAGCACAAACCACAAGCAACTAGGAGTAAAGAGGTCATGTCAGAAGTGGCAGCAACACAGGCATACATTAAGTATTCATGTAACATTAGTATGGTCAGGTATGTTATGAAAGAGCAGATGGGGAAGGATGTAAAGAACTGTTCAGTGGGAGTTACCCGTCGAAGCTCTGCTTCAAAAATAAGGGTGCTGTTAGAAGGGATTCGGTTGGGGACTCCTTTGGCTCCATAAGCTAGGGTGGGTGGAATGACAATAAGACGACGACCTGCCTTCTTCATTCCTAGCATCCCTTCCTCCCAGCCCTGGTCACACAGAGGAGCAACAGGAAGAGGAATAATGAGGTAATAACATAATCATATAAGGATGATTTCATTTAAAGATGAGCTAGTTCATTTCATCACAGTGTTTCCAACACTCTTAAGATATCAATTCTCCTCGACCATTCCGGGACATTTTTCAGGAGCTTTCATTGACATCTGAGTGAGCAATCTGAGTGAGGGAAGAAGATGACAATTTTCCAGAGCAACATACATAATTTCCAGGGTATTTGGTCATTAAAAAAAAATTACGGCATTCTTATGACTGGAAAACTAGTCTCAAAATGCTCAGGTTTTCCAGGACGTGTGAGAAAACTTTTCAGAACAATTGAAAATGTTGCTGGGCAAAATAACCAATCATCATATTCACATTATCAGTGACTTCTCTATTTTTTTTCTTGCTTGTCCTCTGAATGCCCCAACATGAGATACTCAAGCATCTGGGCAGTATCAATATCAAAGTATCTGGTTTGTATGTACCCCCAGTGAATTTGTTTTGCTGTCAAAATTCAATCTTTGTATATGTTTTTATATATAAACATCATGAATCACTCCATAAAAAAATCATTAAAGGATATACATGAGATTTAAAATATTAATATACCAGCAAAAAACTATTAGCTATGTAAAGATATAGTTGAGTCATGGTGTCCGGAGCAGAGACTGACTGATTTGTTTACAAGGCTGGTCTGGTCACACATGCGCGTTAGTGCATGTGAGTCCCTCTGAGTAGCGACTGAAACTGCTGTTTTTGATGTATGTCGGTGAAATACATTTTTATTTTCATTTGGCCGTGATTTTATATTCAAACCACAGTTGGTTGGATGGTTGTATAGTGAGTTTTATTTTGTTTCTGTCCACTCTGAATGAAGTTACGATGTTACAATGATATGCAAGGTTTGGTGCTGAGTGATAGTGATATTACGGCTGTTTCTGGTTAAACAAAAGGTATACCTCTGTAGGGATCCTTCCTTAATGCTGTCAGACACTTAGAATAACAATCTGAGCCTGTCGGTGGCAGTAACAATTTTTAGCGGACATAATTTAAATTTGATTTGTCCCCAAGGATTAGCTAACGTCACATGGCAGCTATAGCAGCCCGTTTCACAGCTATTTTCTCATCTAATTCAGGGAGGTAAGGGTTTATTTAGACCATACCAGAGTTACTGATTGTTGGAAAGACCGTGGAAGGCTAACAAAGACAGTTTTGGTGAGTTTTACTTTGATCCTGTCCAGTGTAAAGTGTGTTTTACAATTATGAGCTAGGTAAAACAACTGGTTTTGTCAATGGAGTCTAGTCGGCCGTAATGCTTATTGTTTTGGTCTGACATCAAGCGGCATGTGAATTTCATATATATAACCTTTAATCCAAGCAAAACCAAAAGGATACCACTAGATAAAAATAACTTAGATATAATATTGTACTAATGGAAGAAAATGGAAGAAAATAAATGAGTCATTAAGAATATTTTCAAAAATTACAGTAATTGTATTAAAATGGTATTTCTGTGGGATCGATGTCAGGCTGCTTTCTTATTTAGTACAGTATGTTTTGACTCACTTTGATCACTTTTCCAGCTCCAACTTTCAGTCGTAGCAACTTGTCCTTGTTCTGGTTGGAGTCAAACATCTGAAATGATATTTAACATTCAATAAGCTGTGTGCCGTTCCAACAGGAACTGGTGACAAAATGGTAAAATCAATCAAATGATGGTGGAAGCATGTGACCTGTCCGATGGCGTTGTTCTGCAGGAGCCAGCCTGTGTACACCACTTCCAGAGAGTCTCCGTTCTCCACTGCCTGGCCCTCGCCAAGACTCAGATCCTGAATCACCACGGCATCTAAGGAGGCCGCACTGTTCGCTTTGGCCAAACATACCTAATGGAAACAAAAGAAAATAAAGTCGTCATCTGATAAACAACATGACCCGTGTAATTTGGTGAAAGCTCTGATGTAGGTCAGAAGAATAAAGGGGTAGGTCTCCTCCTAACCTCTTTGCAGAAGTCCAATGAAGCTTTCTCTGATTCAAACATCAGGGACCAGTTCTGCCTCTGGTCGTCATAAAAAGTGCAGTAGTTGTTTGGCTGAACCTGTGGCAGAACATGTGGTCAGAAACAGAGAAAAGACAAGATGACGAACATAATTTTGCATCAGAAATCCGCTCATTTGTCCACACATTCTGCTGGAATCTGTAGTGTCATGAACTTTGATATATTGTTCCCGTTTTTGTGTTTACAATTATTAATCTAGCCAGAGGCAGACTGATATGGAGTCTAGATTGTGCTGCCGGACTTTGGAAATGTTTCATTATAATCAATTGATATATTTCAAAAGAGCTTCACATTTAATGATCCAAACGTGCTTCCATACATTGTCACCTCCCATCCATATGCAGAAGTGTGATATTCCCTCACTTAATTCATCAGAATATCTGTTTGTCCAACATCCTTTATGTCTCTACTCACCGTGAAAACAAAGCCCACATGAATCTTGGCAGCGGCTACTTGTTTCTGTTGGCTCAAGTACAGAAGCAGCTTGTACTACAGAAAAGAAGAGGTGCATTATTCATAAAAAAATCAAAAGTCAAACCAGTAATCTCAACCAAGTGACCAATTAGCAAAGCTCCAACCTCTTTTGTCGTGTGGTTGCCCAGTACGGCTGCTCCCAGCTTGCCCTGCTTCACATACTGTCCGTTAATACTGCACATGGGACAAAAAATGGCAGAAAGGATTTGCACTTGATTTGCTATAAGGTGATTTAGGGAGTCGTGACTTGATTTATTTGTTATGGAATTTTGATTTTAAGCTTTGCAAATTATGTTTCTTGTGGGGGGTGAACAACTGTAGCCCACAGATGTTTTATTTTAAGAAAATACATGAAGAAAGCTGAGAAATTCAACAAAAAGCTAAATTAAAGAGGTTTCAAAATAATAAAAACAGGCTCCTCCTCACTATCTGAAGGCTTGGACCGCTGTGGCGAGTAACACTGCAGGAGCTCCCGATGGTGGAGCTGGTTTCTGGGCGGCTGCTGCTGTAAACGGACAAAAGACATATTGAGTTCAGCCTCCATGTCATGGCTGAATCTGAAGTCACCGGTGTTCTCTGTGCTGATGGTCTCACCTGAATTGGAGCTCTTTCTGGGCTGTTTGGGTGCCGTGTACTGGAACGACTCATTCCCCTGACTGGTTTGCTGGTCTAATCCAAACAGGGAGGCTAACTTGGCCCTGAAAGGAGAACAAGTGTAAAGATCATATAGATATGGTTATATTTGCCATGAGATGTGTGATACACTCATAGAATAAAAATATCCCGGCCCTGGCGCAGCACTGACTGTGTGGTCGGGTTAGTTCCTACTAACAAGGGTAAAACTGCTCATACAAGCCTTTCATCTTCATTTCAGGAATCTCAAGAGTCGCTGTAGCTGCTGCCACACTTCAACCGCTCCTAACACCACTTTAATCCACACCAAGGTTGAAGGAAGTCAGCTACACAATGGGCTACATTATACTGCACAGACTAGCTAAAACATGTCCGAACAACATCCAACAGTTCGTTATCGATTAATCTGCCAATTTCCTTTATCTTTTTGATTAAACAATGAATCATATAGTCTATTAGATGTCAAGAAATGATTTTTAAAAGGCTTTCACAGTTTTCCAGAGCCCAATGCAATATGTTCAAATTGACTGACTATTGGATTACTGCATTCAGCATTTTTCCGATTACTGATAAAATAAATGTTTTTCAAAATGTTTCAATTTCTCACAATTCTGTAGTCTCGCTCAAAGTCCCATCCACAGCCATTGATAATAGGCTATTATATGTGATGTGTAGCCAATCAGCAGTGAAGGATGCCGTGCCATTGAAATAGAAATACTCACGTAAAGTACAAGTGCCTTAAAATTGTACTTAAGTAAGGTACTTGAGTAAATGTACTTAGTTACACTTCACACCTTTCTTATACATTTTGACACAAAGATTTTAATTTTCACTGCAAATGTACATCGGTTGCAAATATTGGTTATCAGTTTCCTTCATTAGTAATAATTTGTATATCAGTCGATCCCTAATTGAAACCCCCAACAGCGAGATAGCAGTGTGGTAAACATAAACTGAAGGCTGTGCTGTTGGATGTTACAGGGACTGTAACGTAAATACAAATGCAGATCCCACTGTTCTGGTTGCATAAAAAAAGTTAACTTTTTTTACTCTTACTCTCCGATATCTGAAGACAATTTTCTTTATCTGGAGCTTTCTACCTCATCTCATTGTCTTCCTCAGCGTCATGGACACCCTCCATGACAACTGACAACAATCCGCTGAAGAAAACCATGTGTGTGAAACTCCCAAAAATTCCTCAATATTTATGTAATTTGCACTGAAATACAACCGGGAGAAGCAGAAGATCCTTACATTTGAGAAACGGGAACCAGCAAACGTGAAATCTTTGCTTGACAAATGACTTAAACAATGAATAAAACTTTGTTCATACACTACAATGATGGAAAACCATTACTACATCAGTACATACTCCACCAATCTCATTATTTACAACACATGGGATCAAACCTGCAAGGCTAAACCAACATTTCTGTGGTTTCAACACAAGACGAGCCTTGGAAAACTGCCCAGCTAACTGTACTGACCCCTGGAACTCCTTCCACTGGTAATCACTGGTGTCTCCCAGAACGGACATGTTGAAAGCCTTTAGGCCCTCATCCCCGACGGTAAGGAACTGGGATGAGGAGGGGCAATCTGTTTGCATGTGTGAGTCAAAATCCTTCTAGTGTACGTTCCAACTCTTCTGTCCTGGGACACCCCTGATCTCTCGGTCCGCGGTGCAGTCACACCACAGTGGCAGATTCAACAGCATAGCAGAGGGAGAAGCTGAGGAGCTCCGACTTAGTGCTGGCTGGGTATCCACTGGGCAGAGATGGGCTGTGGCAGAAGCCTTCACCTTACTCCTCTAACAGGCAGCATGTGAGAGGAATTAGCCACCATAACACTCCTCCCTCTGGAGCCGGCCCTACACTGGCTGCTTATTCCAGCCGCTCATGCACACTGCTGCTGCTGCTACAACAACACTGTTGTCAGTCTGAAAATGTGGCAGAGCTGTAACTGAATGCCTCATAATTGAGGGACGAGGTATATTAATAGTAACTGAGTCCGTCTCATAACAAAAGGGTCACAGTTTGGATCCCTGGAACATCGAATCTGTTTGTCAACATCACAGCAACCTCCATTTTCAGTGGCTTTCAATAAACATACATAAACATAATAAATATGTAACTTACACATATAAAAACTGAATTTGGTTACACTTTATATACACATATTCATCATTAACCAGTTGCTCATTATTCTACCATATTCTACAACTACTAGGTCAATAACTAAGAGTTTTCTCCTCCATAACTTCCTAATTACTGCTTATCAATGGTAAGCAAGAAAGTTGTTGAACAGAAGTTATGATCTTACTATGCTTTGTTCAGTATAAGGTAGTAGTACCATGAGAATAGTCATTCTACCTTAATGGCCTTAATAAATACGGTCTATTCTCATGTAACAAAACTACAAGTGTTAATAGTGTAAACTTTTGCTCATAACTAAGCAACACCTTCTTTTCAAACTGTGATCATTTAAAAAACTGAAAATATATTTCAATTCAAGTTGAAAACAAGTTTAATAATTAACAATCTTTTGACTTTGTTCTATTCTGAGCAAAGAAAATGTTTAGAGCAAGTTAAGAGCCCACTTCAGAATGGGGAACATATTCTGAGATAGAGAGAATAGACCACATTCATTAAGTGCCATTAAGGTAGAATGCCTGTTCTTAAGGCACTACTACCTTATAAGGCCCATACTGAACAAAGCATATTACTGTAAGATTATAATTTGTTTATAGTTTACAACTTCCTTACGTACCATGAATAAGCAGTAATTAGGAAGTTATTGAGGGAAAACTCTTAGTTAAAGACCTAGTAGTTGTAAATATGGCAATGTAGAATAAGGCATTAATAAGTGCTTTATAATGACTAGAAAAGAGGCAGAATTCTACCAATATCCATGCTAATAAGCAACTACTTAATGCTGTATGTGTGTACCTTGATATAAAGTGTAACCCTTCATTTCAGCAAATGAACTGTTTTCATTTTTTATTCCACATTCTGACTCTATCTGACTACTGACACACTGTGTGTATAATACAGACTGATAAAGTGAGGGGGGGGATAAGAGATCATGTGATAACTCAGATCAGCAGGGAGACCTCACCAGAGATGCAGATATGAAATCAGTGGAGTTCTCTTCTAACTTACTATAATGCTCCATGAACTCACCACCTATCCGTTAGTTACAGCGGTTGTTGTTCTCCGCAGGATGGAAACACTTTGTAGCTGTTAACTTGAACACGGTGAAAACAGGTATGACACTGAACCGACTGTTCCTGGAAGCTGGATGTTCTTGTGAGAGAACTTCATTGATAGAACATCTCCTCACACTGCTTCCCTTCATATTCTGCCGTTACAACAATTACGAATAACAAGAGTGGACTGAAAGTTGCGCTCCATTCCAACGTTATCTTCTGAAGGACATTGTGTACAGATGAGGTCGTCATAAAGTGTTAACATCTGTTTAATGTTCAGTGAATTCTGACCCACACAGGACAACAGCTAGCTTAGCCCCGGCTACATCCTGGTTAGCTAGTTAGCTCGCAGGCTAAGAGCATTAGCTTGGTGGTAACAAACAAACTCACCCTCCGGAAGGAGACAAGAAGTCCCCGTCTTCATCGTCTCCGCCGAACATCTTTGGACCTGAAGCCTTCTTTTATTAAATTAACCAAACTACAAATGAGTTAGCTGCTTTTACATGACTACTTTGTTGAGCTGTGACTTCCCCTTCCTGTTTGTGGTGGAATCAGCTGACTTTCCACCTGATCCAAATCCAATTAGTGCTATCTGCCACTGGAGGGCGCCACAGGCTACTACAGGGTTTCAAATGAACCTACAGCTACGGTTTCTGTTTCCAGCACAACGTCATCCTGAGTGTACAGTGCTGCTCAGTCATCAAGCATGCGCACTGACTGTGAGGGGATGCTGCCCTGCGGTCAGCCCTGACCTTTGACCTCACAGAAGGGTTTAGATGAGAAGAGAATTTCTTAATATAGACTCAATAATAAATGACATAAACAAAAAATGAACAGGCCTCAGCAGCCATTTTGACATGAAATAGTAGTGTACACAGGTGTTACCAATAATACTAATTAAGGTTCCATTAGGGTCAAACAGAGTGAGGGTGCTGCTGTTGTACATGTTGGCTCACTGTAAAGGCTCTGCTACACTAAATGGAATGGATCCTTAATAAGTATCATTGGTAACACCTGTGTTTACCCTACTGGTTCATGTCAGAATGTGAGATACATTCTTCCCAGACATAAATTCTATTGAAACTCTTTTAGTGATGATTTAATTTTTAATTTAGTGATCCTAATAAGGTCAGAGAGGTTCAATTCAAAATTCGACAAAAAAATCTATCCATTGAATCCTATCTTGGTATGTGAGGAGATAACTTTTTGGTGGAAACTTTTAATGCTACTATATGTTACTCACTACTTTAGACTTTAGGATATTATTTGTTATGGAAATATAGGTGACTCTACTTTATTGGGGAAATCAAAAGTCTTTTTTTATTCTCTATTTACTTTTTTATTTGTTATAATGCTTTTCAATTTTTTTATAATTATTACTCTACTGCATTTACTGCATAAAATGCCTTTATATATGGAAATGATAAAAGATATAGCATCAGTGTAAACTAATACTAATATCTAACAATATCCTTTTAGTTGTGGTTATCTTTAAAAATGTGCAGTGGAGTCCATCAAAAGCAATTTGGCAAAACAAAGTGTTAATATTTCTCACTGAATCTGTGGCATTTAATACTTTGTACGCCACATGGAACACAAAGTGTTTCTCCCCAACCTGTTTTCAGATGTTTTTCTATCATTGTGGCAAAAATAGATCTCATTACCTTTACATTAACACAGCCACATTTCCCACAGTCAATGTTAATTCAGTCTGAGGCTCGTGCCTTCCTTCTTTGCCAAGTTCATTACAAGAGCGACATTGTTTGCCTGAACTCCAAATAGCATTTTGATCTGTCATAACATTGTGTTAGTCCTGGCAACACATAGATCAAATACAATCTGATGTGTGACATGAGCATCAGTGTTTACCCCACAATTGCTGTGCAGGTTGTTGATGTACAACTTCTGCTCACCTACGTTCTCCCCTAATGCTGTTCAATCCATCCTTCCTATATTTCACCTTCAGATTGGTCCTGAGCAAATTGCCTTTATCTGTTTTTTCTGTTCTACTATTTGCTGGTCCTGGCTGTGAGGAACTGTTGGCAAGCAGCACATACAGCATCATTACAGCTGTTGGCATTGGCTGTGCCACTGTAATGTAATGTTTATATATGATACTTACATGTTTTATTCAGCAAGATAATCTTTACAAAAATTAAAGATACAATTATGATTTTTGAAGCATAAATGCAACCGCCCAAAGTCAAAAGCTAACACTAGGCCAACAACACCGAGCTCATAGGACTTCATCATTGCCTCCACTAAACTTCCAACTTAATAGAATAACAGTTGGTGAGTACTTGTTAGTAACCGCCTTTTTTAGGACACGTAAAAGTTCAAAAATTCACAGGTGGGATATTTACTGATGTATTTTATATCATAGGTGACCTTATGTCAGGCATCTAACTAAAAGGCCATTCAAAAACCCAATTTTTTTCCATGAGGGTTTAGCATTATTAAAAAATAGGGGCTGAATATTTAATGGCAAACTAGTATAGCATGGGACATAATAATAAGCTGATAGTAATTATATAGTCGATTTGAATTTGCTTCTCAACTATGCTATCAGTGTACGTTGGCTAACTGTTCATGCAGCATGTCAAATCCTTTGGGCAGTGTTTTAATACTGGAAATGTATTTGCTGTATGTAGTCATAATGTTCCTTCATCCCTCGCAGCTCCCCACCAGTCAACACATACACACAGGACGATTAAATATAATCCATCTTCTTTACTCTCTTTCAGTATTTACACATGATCATTTTACAGCAATATTACTTTAGATTTATGGCCTTTCAACCATCTTTTACCTATCAAAATATACAAAAATAAAATCGCATCTGTTTCTTCCTATGTCACAACTGTCATCAGTCCATTGCTTTTGCTGCATGTTAGGAAGAGGTACGTGATTTCCTGTTCCGCTTCGCTCGACGTGTGGCCGGAAATCGGATGAACTCAAAGTGTTTGCTTTGGTCCGTGTTGGGGAAGGGAGGCGGGCCCGTATGTAGCCTCTTGATGAAATGGACCTCTCTCTGGTTCTCCCTCGTCCTGGAGGCTTTGATGGGCCTCCCTTTCCTGGTGAAAGCCACATACCAGCCCTCATACTTGGCATTCTGGAAGGCTGTGTAATTGTTCTCCAGAACTATCTCTGTGAAGATACAATCCCTGCTCCGGCCGTTGGGCTGCGTGAAGAGACAGAAAAGGTTCCTTCTGTTAAAGCTTGACAGACGCAGCACAGACACCACAAAATCTACTGCAATACCAGCTTTATTATTTATTTATTTATGGTTTATTCAATAGGGACAGATACAGTAAACATGGACAGACTGAAAACAGCTATCCCATGCAAGTATCATAGTGTTTATAGCGGTTGCAATACCCGCCCCTAGAAGGTCTTTTATTAAAATAATAGGTTAAAACAGGAAGGTAAAAAAAGATTTAACTGCATACAAAAAACACAGAAAATACACAATTAAAAATGACACACCCATATGTAAGTAATACTTTATGATATAATAATGATAATAAGCTAATAGGTTTTTTATTATATCAAAGCCTTCTTAAAGAAATGAAACTTTGAAAACGGTGAAACTTTTTACAAATGATAAGTTGAAGTTGTAAGCAATAAAACACACCCAGTCTGGCCGGTGTGTAGTTGCTAGTAGCTTATTGTGGCTAATGTTAGTTGACATTAGCAAACTTTAGATACATATTGTAGTCACATTAAAGCTGCAGGAGGTAACTTTTATAAAAGTAACTTTTTGTCATATTCGCTTAAACTTTACTATATCCTGACAGTAGAACATGAGTAAGATAATCTGTGAAAATTTTTTTATTGTTGAGTCTCGTTCCCAGGTCGTCAAATACCAACGCTGAAAATGAAACTCAACAATCAACTATCTTTAAGTTTTTTTATTTTTCTTGATTGATTATGTTCGTTCAGGCCCGGTAGATTTTTGCAAATACCACTAGAAGCACTAGGAGGAGCCAGAGGAACCAGATTTTTTCACAGATTATCCGTCCCATGTTCTACTGTCAGAACACAGTGAAAACTTAGCAAATATGACATAAAAATATTTTTATAAAAGTTACCTGCTGCAGCTTTAACCAATTGTCACTTCTAACCACATTGGCTGCTGTTGAGCAAAAGTTTCGCAGTCTACCCTTTAGTTCTTTTTTATCTTTTAGTATGTATCTGGACTTATTTAATGCAACACAAAGAGCAGGGACCATTAACTACTTATATTGTATAAAATTGTGTTGCATACTAAACTGAGCCTACAATAATGTGTAGGGGGGCCTATAGTGACAGGTATTAAATAATAACCTATAATTGAAACAATTTACATTTGATAATAAACATGTTGGATTCATGTTAATGTGTATTAACACATTTTAAAAAATGGTAAATTTAAATTCAAATTTATTACAATTTTTAAAATATTATTACACAATGATTTGGCGACCCCCCTGCAGTAACTCTGAGGACCCCATGTTGAAGATCCAGGACTTATTTGCATTGTTGCCCAGAGTTAGATTGATTAGCTTAGTAGCCTGCCTCTGTCCACAAGTGAAAAAATGTGCCTACCAGCACCTCTAAAGCTTTTAAATATGTTATCTCGTTGTTGAACAGGAACAGTTAGGCTTATGATTTTCCAATAAAACCACAATGTGTAGTTGTTTTCTAGAAATAAATAACATAGTTAGTTATATTTGAACATTTTCCCCCTTTTCCAGTCCTTATGCTAAGCTAAGATAACCAGCTGCAGTTGGTATTTTTAAGGCTACCATGATGTGAGAGTGGCATCTCATCTAACTCTCACCAAGAAAGCAAATAAGCATATTTCAAGGAACTAAGATTTCTTTTTCTTGAGTTGAATTCTGATAAGCAATGAAAATATGAGTCCAAAAGCTTAGGACACATCACAAGAGAGAGCAGCATGAGTCTTTCTCCGAGTGGACTTGTTATCTATAAACAGACACTACAGCAGCCACACCTCCTGCACCTCTCAACCATGATGAGAAATAGATTTATGACTCGTCATGTCAGCCAGATATGTGAATCCATCTTTTCCATTTCCACGAAGGAAGTGCAGAGTTGACATATGACACAAACACACAGGCGGTGCATTATGGGGGGGTACTTTCCCCTCATTGCTGTAAGCCACAACCAATAAGACTGAGCGACTATCACTCAGCCCTCTGGCTCTGAGGATTGCTTTTTTCCAGCACATCATGTCCTGGGGTGACTGACAAGTTATGAGACTACAGTGACAATGGGCTGAAGCTGTAGTGTTGGAGCTACAGTGTGTGTTTTACTGGATAAAGTAAGGCCAGGCACATATTGTGAGCCCTCTGACGGAGACCAGGATGGATTTAGATGTTTTTATGTCTTTAATTCCAATAGAGCTTTTTGCCCACTCATAGAGTTGATACTGTGATAAACATCTACCCAACATATTAAATTAATTTGTAACAATTTGTACTCCCCAGAATATATTTTACTTGTATGTTCAGCAAATATCACCAAGTGAAATTTTAAAATATTAACCACCTTGTGAAATTAAATTTTGTATGTTTTTTTGTTTTTTTTTAAATAATTATTTTGTCAAAATGTCCAAATTCTCTGATTTCAGATTCTCAAATTTAAATATTTTCTGGTTTCTTTAGTCTTCTAGTAAACTGAATGAACAAACCAAAACATTTGAGGATGTCAGCTTGGGCCTTGGATCACCAGTTTTCTCCATTTTCTTACATTTAATGGACTAAACAGCTAATTGATTAATCAATGAAAGACTATTTGATACCATTTCTGCTTGCAACAGAAGGATTTGGCTGCTTAATATCACCATACTACTTCAGTTTCCTTTGTAATTCATTTTGGCACTGCACTGATTGAGAACTTTTCCATACCAACTAAAATCAATATGTTTCAATATCTGCCACCAAGACTCTCCTTGCTCCCACATTAAAGAAATCAGACGTGTATATCGTACCTTTCCAACAAGTTTCCCCTTCCGGTTCATGCAGAGGTAGCGCCCACTCTCTGCGCCTCTTATCCTCACCCGACTGCCAAATGTGTCTGTCTCAACAAAAAGACGAGCTGCCGGAAAAAGAGAGGAGAATGTCAAGGAGCTGAAGATAGAAAACTCTTTATTTTTAAATATGTATTTGCAATATTCCTGAGTAATATCCCACACAGAAAATGGGCATCTACATATGTAGTTCCCTTGATAATACATTTGTTTAATCACCGAGTGTTATCACTGAACATTAAAGAGCTTTATTGGAGGCAGAATATACATTCTCAATTGAGTTTGTCCTGCAGTCAATTACGGCCAACGGGCATTACAACAGCCTTGCGTATTGGGGCTATAGAGACAAAGGACTTGTCCTAATCAGCTGTTAATTCGCCAGACGATGGCTTCATGGATACAGCAGGGAGGCCGAATTAACATATAGGCCTGAAAACACCTCACAGAGGGAGGGACAAGCAGGCTGGAGGTGAAACTGCTGGTTGTGCCTGAGGACATCAGTCCCCAGCAGGGGCTTTGTGGCTGTATGTCAGGGACCAATGTTCAATCCAATAGTTTCACTTAATTCCTCTGAAGAATCTCAATTGCATATGTGTGTACCAAGAACTCAAAATCACAATAAACACATACAGCAGGAACAGGTTTCACTGCAGAGTTTACACTGACAGTTAGAGGCTGAATTACAGTGAGCTCTGTCATACTGGTACTTTAAAAAGTAATTCAGTGGACCTATTGTCACCACTTAAATAAATGCGTGGTTGCAACATAAAACTTTTAGATAAACCTTTTGAGTTCCAAACATTATTTTGATGAGTTGTGTTGACATAAGTAACATGGAAAAACTAGTTGGAACCTAATCGTAAAAACTTTTACGCTACCAATTGTTAAGTAAGTAGTAATCCAAAACACCTTTCATTGCGGAGGAAAAGTTAATTCCTATAACTCAATGTGGTACATTTGTTAAACATAATTCCATTAGAAGTTGCCATAACTTAAAAAATATTGATGCAAAACTGTTGTGTGTGGCCAATATCCACTTTTTAAGAAATAATGTAATTATCAGTCCAAACTAGCTCCATAGCATTACATACAAGTCATATTGGTCTATATTTTATATTTCCACAGAAAATATGTTACTTTCTTGTGCAAAAAGGACAGGAGGACATGTCATTTCTGGCTACCTGGATTAAAAATTAAATTGCAACCCAAGAAACAGGTTAAAGGACTTTTTGAGTCTTCTGGCTTTTTCAATAGCATTTATTAGTACTTTTAGCTCTGTCACTGCAGAGTAATGGTAATAAATAAGAGGCACAATCTGGAGCTAGTCCAGACCAGTTTTTTTTTTTAAAGATATCTGACTGTATCCTTTGTTGTCCTATTTGGTTGTAACTTCAGGAGGCAAGTGTAGTGAAATAGGACAATCCCTATAATAAAAGTAGCAAAAGGAGCTCCATAAACACAGCCAAATGTCCTACAAGGTTATCAGCAGGCCTCGGGTCAGTTCTTACCGTACATATTTCCATCCTCGGCGGTGGCGGTGACCCTTTTGCCCTGAATCTGGACGTGTTTCCCGCTGGTGCGGCTGTAGAGCTGGTACACCCTGACCTGTCTGCGGCTGAGCTGGTCCGTCACTGCACCCTGCGTCCTCACATACTGGTTAAAATTAGGAGACGGGTGATTCTCCCCCTTTTTTATGCAAAGGGAAAAATAAAATACATAATTTTTTTCTTTCTAATCTGGGATATAAAAATGTAGAACTGATTTTATCACCACCAGAAAGTCTACAAATCGAATTATTTCCCCTATCACTACTAAACAAAGTTGTACTCAAATGCGAAATTCAGAATGGAGGTATGACCCTAATGTAAGTCTTTAGGAAATGAACAGTTTTTGAGCGCTTACCTGAGCGTGGCACCACAGCACGAAAAAATGAAATGATCTGCAGAAGCAACAATAAAAGTAGAATTAGAAAGAAGTCATTTTGCAGCAATATCACACAATCATACAATCTACGGGTCACCTTACATGTAAATGCAGCGCTGGTTTATTCCATACATTCTTCTTTTTATTTCATCCGATCAAGACCCGGAATCTTGAGGCAGATAAATCCCAGAAATAAATCCACATATGCGCTCCTGACCTGTCCATCCACACCAACAGAGTCTCTGAAACAAGAGTTATTCCCCCTCACATTTATCAAAAACCTGATCCGGCTGACTGAGCGGTGAAAAGCTCTCCAAAAGATCCGTGCAGCGCATCAGCAGCAGATACATCCATTATAGGCAATATATATTCAAAAAAAGCTCGTTATTTGTCTTAACATCACTGGGGTGAGATGTGAGGGGACCCCCGGCTCCGTGCAGGTCTGCTTGGGTTAATTCCAGGTTTTGAAAAGCCCTCTGTCTCACCGGGATCAGGCTGCTCACTGGTTAAATGTTGAAAGGCAAAGTCCCTCCCTAAAATCTTTCTATTGTGGGTGGGCACAGAGACAGGACCCCTAATGATGATTTAATAGGGAGGGAAGAAATCACTCACATTCTTTGAGATAGGCAAAAGCAAAAAAAAAAAAAAAAAAGATTCCACATTCAAATCCTGAAGTGAAATTGCAAAAGAAAGTGGTTTGAGAGTTTTGGCTCAAATTAACCTCAAGCCTGTCTGTCCCTCAAATGCATACCATTACTGTGGCACTGTATTTAAAAGTGAGTAGCCTAATGGTACCTTATGGGTGTGGCAATTAGGTGTTAAAGAGACCACTGCCCCACCACCACCACACTCCCCTTTTATCTTATGTTAACTGGTCACACTTCCAGCTCATGTAAAAGGAGGCCAAAACAAATCATACAGACAAAAGGCCTGTTTCATCTCTACATAATAAGCAATCAACATCTCAAGATGAGCAGGATGCTGCCTTTCCTCCTCATTTGAAAATAATTAAGTTAGAAGAAAGAGAAGAAAAAAGAAAAGAGGAGAAGAGAAGAAAGACAATAGCTTTATATTTTGGTAGCTGCTGATGAGGCATCTGAGGACTTTGTGTCCATGAACAACAGTGTAACACGAAGCTTCAAGTGCCTTCACATCTTACCCTTCTCACGTTCTCTTGACCCCGCCGCCACTGTCAGCTCCTGTCTAGGGCAATAAAGTAATAAAATGCAGCAGTTAGGCATCCCTGACATCTCGGCCTGCCTCTGACTGGCTGACAGGAGCCAGCAGCAACTGATTCCACTTGTTGATGTCACTTCTTACTGTAAGACACCGGCCCGTCAATCAGTTCTCCTCTCGTATCACAACATTCAGTATTGTTTTAGTCAGAAAGCTAAACAGACATGTAGTAATGTGAGTGATGTGGACATGATCATGATTTACTAGCATGGTGCTCAGTCCGGCATGTTTGTGTGTTTATTTGCATAAGGGAGACATCCACATAGCCTCAAGTCATTATATGGTGTTGCAGCAACAGACTTCCCATCGTGTAGAAAAGCTACAGTATTAAATATTAAGAAAATGTGATGAACACGGTCATATCTTTATTGTAACAAGTACAGCTCAAAATAAATTGACAAAACACTGTGCAACAGTACACCAAACACTTTAATGATTGATTAGTTGATTGATCTTTAATTCAGTCTTTATGTTAAGATAAATAGTAGTGCCAAATGAGATCAGAAATGTACCCATACCCAAAGGCCATAGCAAATATGTGCACAAAGGTAAATCAGAAACACAATAAAATTTAGAAGAACAATAAACTCAGGAGTTACCAAAGTGTGGTAAGTGTGCTGCTATTGTGTATGTTGGCTCACTGGAAAGGAACATGTAACACGTGTTTAACCTACTATTACATGTCAAAATGGCTGATCTTTAATACAAGGGACTGGAAGTTATGGCAAATTTACACGGCAAAAAAAGCAGTTTTTCTCAAAATAAACAGTAAATCCAAAATAAATATTAATGACATTAGCTGAGGCACAGTGAACAATGTTTTATGACAGGCAAAAAACATTTTTATTGCTGTCATTGTTTCAAAGTAATATCGTTTTCCACAGTGCTGAGCTGTGGCTCAATGGTACATGTCACATTCTGCTAGATGTAGAAACATGGTCAAGATTACCTCTTCCTCCTGCGGTTGCAGGAGCCAACAAGGATGATTTTTTCATTTGATGGTAGGGTTGGCTGTGGGTGTAGAGTACTTTTGCAGTAGCTGCTGTCATCACTGTGGAATTCACAGATCTCTGGCTATGCTGTGTTGTCAGCGAGATGTTTAGGTAATGGAATATAGAAAGAAGAAAAAGAGGAGACAGAGCCTTGTGAAATGCCACTTGTCTAGCTCTTATACCACCATATTCGAGCACATACAGTAAATAGCCTGCACTATGATTAGACACCTATTTACAAGTTAGGATACAAGAGCAAAATGCTGTTCCTTCACTGTGAGCATAACAATCAACTTGGTAGTGTGTGAAGATTTTCTATAGTTCTTTTATGGCATTTCCACCAATTATCCATAGTGACAGCAGGTTTAGCAACGTTGCCTAGATGTCCCCCAGCTCCTCAAAAACCTCAAAATGTTTGCTGTTGCAATTGAATTGTGTTTAATGTAATTTTTAGGAGACTGGGTTGGATCCACTGGTAAACCGAGAGCTTGGCCTTCAGGCTCAGCTTTCTCTTCACCATGATAGTCCCGTATGCTGCCCACATTACTGCCCACACCGCACTGATCCACCTGTTGGTCTCAGATTCCATCTTACCCTTTCTCCTGAACAAGATCCAGAGGTAACTCCCTCATTTGGGGAAGCAACTCATTCCCAAGGGATCAAATGTTGTTTTGTTCAAGTTGTTGGAATGCCTTTACTCAAAATCCTCTCTGTTCTGTTAGCAGCAGGTCCTAAGGAGGACAGTGCTGGCTGGTTGGACTGTCTGACCATCCAACACTTTCCTCCACACTTATCCTAAAACTACTGGCCAGTTTGGTATACATATTCAAGGTCCCCAGAGAAAGATTTCCCATTATTTGTGTGCTCTACTTTTGTGACATTTCTTCTACTGCAAACATTAATTCACAGCTTTGATCAATAACAAGATATCTAACATGTATACGTCCATAAAATGTTCTGTGGATATTTCTGATCCACAGACGATGAATCCTTTTTTGATCCCCTGAAACCCCTTTTCTCTGGTGCAAACTTCCACTACAGTCCAATTAGCAACTTGGTATGCGAAATAATGAGAATTTCGACAAATCTTTATAAAAAAAAATTCAAAAACAAATTAAAAGCTCAATTGAACCGACAACTGCTGGTCTGTTGCTCCCAATCTGTGTAGTACTTTTACTTTTTACTTTATAGATTGCATTTCAGCCAATGCAATTCCACCTCTTTTGCTCTCCACATGGATCTGCATGCAACCAAAGCCCGCTCAAACGTGAAAAGTCAACAATACTGGGACTACAAATGGAAATCAGAGCGCTTTCGATGCCAAAATCATGGTCCTTGCCTTCAGATTTTGCATTCACATGCAAATACTTGTTTAGATTACTCAGGGCACAAAACAGAATCAGTCTGACTCACTTCAGTTTGCTATCAGGTCGTCATTTTAATATGTCCAATACTCTGGTTTCTGACCAAATACCTGCAAAACTAATGGCATCCCCATTAGCCTCTGCTCAACTTTATGTTTAGTGCTAAACACCCAATGTTAGCGTGGATATCATGCTAAACTAAGATGGTGAACATGGTAAGCCTCAAGCCTGTTAAACATCAGCATGTTAGCATTGTCATTATGAGCATGTTAGCATGCTGATGTTAGCATTTAGCTTAAGGCACTGCTGTGCCTAAAGTACAGCCTCACGGGGCTGCTAGCATGTCTGTAGACTCTTATTCGTCTATTGTTTTATTCAAACAAAAGGATGTGAATAAATTATTGATCTGATATTCAATTTGTTTCAGATGTTGTATAATAAGATTTGGACAAAGGCAGGGATGGATTACACAGTTTGTCTATGAGGCTCTAACTTTGTGGTAATTTCATTAATTGCAAATGACAGCAATTGTTGTGTTCCAGGGCGTCCTTGCGTGTTAATCCAGCTGCGGGCAGAACCAAAAGTGTTGAAAACAACACATAGTTCTTGCACTTGTTAAAAATACACATCCTCAGTTTTCTTAATTCATCACTTCAATGTCAGTTTTTTGTATGAACTGTAGTTCTTGTTCATTTTAAGGCATATGCACCTACATTTTTTTGTTTATATTTATTGTAAAAAGTAAAAATCATATTGGTGATCATACTGATGATGGACACAAATAGTACATTATATATGAATATGTCAATGGAATGAGTCATACAAATACATTTTGTAGTCTTGTTAATATGGGGAGCAGTTGCCAAATTTTTCCAACACTTCAAAACAGTCAAACCTATTTCCCATACAGCTCGGGCCTTCCTCGGGGCTACTGTAGCTCCAGTGACAAGTGAAAGGGGAACTGGTGGTCTCCAAACAGCTCTGACCACATCGTAAAAATCTCTGCCATAAAGAGCAACTGGCCACTCTTTCTGACCCTGCAAAAATAGAGGGAAGGGTTCAGAAAGTGGGTGGTCCCCTTTATGAATGATCAAAAGAAGAGAAAAGTAAAAAAGAAAGAAAAAAATGAAAAAAGGAGGAGGATTCACTTGGACGAGCAGCCTGCTCCTCATCAGCAGCAGCAGCGGGGCTCTTCTTGTCCTTCCCGAACCCACAATCAGGTCAGTCTTCACTGCTCAGTTGACTGATCCAGCAGCCTGGGAATGTTACGCTCAAAATGTGAACATCAGTCATCTGTGAATGTACTTTGGGCACTTTTTAATGTAGATGAACTCTGTAGTTATAGACCAAGGGGCTGAAAATGTACAACTCTGTGCTTATTACAAAAGCTGCTGACCCTTAGGTATCGCCCTGCCATTTGCAGGCTGACCATTTGAGCTTGCCAAATTTGACACAGCTGACGCAGGCAATAAATTTGAACTAGTTTCCCCACCCCCTTTATCCATAATGAGTGCTGCCCTGTAAAGCCTTTGAACACACCCACACGCACACACACACACACACACACACACACACACACACACACACACACACACACACACACACACACACATTCATGCATACATACCAGCAATCCTAATGTGATAATCACAGGATAAAGTTGTGTTAGCTACATGATGAAAGACGCACGCAATCTACAAAATCGTCAATCTGTAGAAGTGTGAAAATGTGTAATGATGTCTAAAAACGTAACATTGCAGGTCAGACTGGTGTGTGTGAATAACTTAAGAGGATATGTGAGAGCTAATGGGTGACAGACAACATTGTCAGGGTGACCAGACTGTGCAAATCCCCTGAGTCCCTGAGCGCTGGGATGTCCGACAGGTGATACCCGAGTTGCTGATCCGTGATTAACACTCGCCAGTTGCAGACAGGCTCTGACTGCTTCATCTACAGGCCAAGAAGCTGGGAACATGTCAGCCTTCAAAACTAATAAAGTGACTCACACAACTGCCCTTCTCAGAGCCACGGACACTGAGAGAGAGGGAGGGTTGTGTGTTGGGGGGGGGTTACGAGGGGCTGTAATGAAAATAGCCGGACGTCCAGCTACGCCGAGGCTACAGAGTCAGACAG